CGTTACGTCGGAAGTCAACGCTGGAATCGTTTCGAGGCCCTGCACCTGTCTTGCTCCAAGTCAGTCGCTTTTGGAAGAGGATTATGATGTCAATATACTGTGAGAGCCTCACTTTTGGACACATCTGAAGCACTTGATAGCTAAACATACTCTCATCGGTTTTCTGTCAGAAGTGCTGAATTGTTATTAAGTGGTAGCAATATACTTCGAAAAGAAATATTTAAGTTCCAGTTGGCCGTAAACATACTGTTGTAGAAGTGAGCATACATTACGCAACCTGTGGCAACCGGAGTCAATCAATACTTCACAGTGTTTGAGAAATTTTATCCTAAATATTGCATACGAGGTGTCCACAGTGACCATTTCCACTGTAATATTGCGGTAAAACTGAAGTGTAGAGTCAAGTTCGGGTCTCCTGCACTTTTACCGTCTATCTTTCGCCACCTGACGAACGTTGGGTCTGGACGTTGTTCCCCATCATATACACATAAGATCAAGCTCACTATTACCTTTGCCACTCAGAAATCACTGGCATATCATTTTATCTGTTGTTCAAGACAAGGGGGTTTTCATTCTCACTACAGCAGTGGCCAAAGCTTATAATAAAATATGGATTCTGAAACTCTGTCACGATACTCGAATTCAGTTATCCATGAAGATTACACTCAGTGCTCTGGAACTGCTTCCTGCCTGTCACGTCTAATCAACTAACATCCATTGAAGTGCACTTTGATGATGATCAGCGTCACATTGCCAGATGATTGAAAGAATTCAGCCAGCACCTGGGAATAAATGGCATTAAACTGAAAGCTACCTACAGCCCATTCCATGGGCTGCTTAGACTGCTGGCGTCCCTAGAGTGGAATCGTTGTTGACTGATGATAAGCTTGTCTTGACAGTGTTCAAAACCCGAAGCCAAGATGTTCGATAGGCAGCAGCGGAACTCCCCCTGAGTCATGCCAGGCCTGGGCGCTCGCGAGGCAAAGCTGTGTCGAATGTGCGAAAGCACCTACTCACCCCCAGGGAAGCCTCCGCCGATAAGAGTGACTCCAGCCTCAGCCAGAGACACTGAAAGGTTTCTCTTACTGTCACACACCCTGGTCACCAACAGATTGTCCAACATTAGAGCTGGACGTGACCGGTCATAGGTGTCAAGAAAGACATCTCGAGAAGCATCTGATCCACCAAAATCCACAACCACGGTCACACATGGAATACCTGGAATGGTGACCAGCACCTCAGGCGATAGGTACACCCATGACGTCCAACAGTGTGAGTGGTTGTCGCTTCAGATAGAGCTGAGTGGGGTTGCAGTAGCGGCTATCGGCAGACTACCAAACACCTGACAACCAGGACTTCACCTGGTATAATGGCTGTCAACTTTGAATCCCCAGAAGTTCTTACCAGAGTGCTAGAGATGTGGCATGAAGTCAAGAGCACCAATAGGTGGGATTTTCGCTGCTGCGAAAGCAGACCGGGTTCACTGCGACAACGACAGACAGCAGTCGCCTCCAGTGCTCAGGCCACCATCACCCAAAACTGACAAGTTGGGAGTCGGACCGGTAACCCCCACCTAAAACCAACTGTACCAATCGACCTGGGAAGAGACTCAACTGGGCCGGTTCCATTAGAAGTAGCCGGCCAGTAAAAACTTTCACGTATGAACCTGTGCCGCCATTTAAAGCAGAGACATCTCACGTTACGAGGGACGCTTCCAGGTGTCTTAACAGCAGCGTGAGAGGAATCCAAAGTAAAATGTCAGGGGTCCGATCCCTGTGTTCCGATTTTATTCCGCGAAATCGTAATCCTGACGGGAGCACAGTTATCACCGGGAATTAGTAGCACTGAAGTTAACATAAGCGACATGCTTCTATTCAGGAGGGACGGAGAACACAAGGGCGGAGGGGGGTTGGAATATACTTGAACGGTTTGTTCAAAAGTGAACAAAACACCGATGCTGTACTAAGAGAGCCCCAGACTCTATCTGGTGCCACCTGAGGGTCAAAAACACTAAGCACCCAGTTTGAGGAATCTATGGGTCCTCTAATAGCAACTTGGGGCACAACCAAAAACTACTACAAGTAATGTCCCCGTTGCTGATCATGGGGTATAACCGGATCCTAATAGCCGACGACTTCAACGCCCTAAGTCTCAGTCTAGAGCTAGGTGGCATGACTCTGGATCGGAAGCTTAGTTGTAACCTGTTAAATGCCATCCAAATGGCTGGAAAGCACAAAAAATTGGCGACAACGCCCGCCGGGAGTCAGATGGTGGACCATCTAAGCGGGATTACCCGTGGCTAGTGATCATCTTCTGGTTGAGAACGTCCGGGTCCAAACTCCTCTTGGAGCAGCGTTCGTGCTGTGGTAGTGTTAAACCTGGTATCCAACGGAAGATTGCCACGACAGGGGCCTCGCCCTTCTGTTACAACAGGGCGAGCTGTGAGAGAATGAACCAAAGCCTATTGAGAGCTGCATGGCCAAAGACTTGATGCTCCTTATCCGTTGACCAAAACTGGGAGCCGGTAAGAAACATCATTAAGGCGGCGATCTCGCAAAACGTCTCAGAAAGCGGACCTTATGGCTAAAAAGAGACACTGAGCACTTCCCAAAAGCCAAGAGCAAGGTTTGGCACGGATGGAGACTCTCCAGAGAAGAGGATGACCACGACGTATACATAGCTCTGCGAAGTTGAAAGAACATCAGGGTGCGAGGAGACAGGATGTCGTTCCAGTCCAACCCCGCCAAGAAGCTTGAGACAAGTGCCAGAAACCTATGCCGATCCATGGCAGAGAGAAAATCAACAAGCCAAGGAACATGCGTCACAAAAGTTACGAATGGAGAAAACCTCTCTGGGCAGGAGATGGCCGAAGTGTTAAGCACCACTTTTGACACAGTTCAACGTTCCGTTAGGAAAGTATGCACACTCACTCGGCGGATAGCCCCAAAGTCATTTGACGCTTCAGAGTAACATGAAGTACAGATAACTAGTGATGTTGTTCTCGACAAGTAGTCAAAGCTAAGTGCGGGAAAACCTCCATGGTGCGACGACATTCGCCCATGTGTGTTAAAAGAATGTGCAAGTGGCTTATTCTGCAGTCTGTTTCAACACTTTGACAGACAAAAACTCTCAAGAGAGTGGAAACGGGCAGTCCTCTCCCCTTTCTTCAAAGGAGGAGACAGGCAGAATCCAGACTGTTAAAGACCCACAGCACTTTTGCTAGTAGTACCAAAAGTTATGGAAAGTGTGATAGGCGACAACATCAGGGGATATCCAGACACGAAGCAAGCACTCAGTGACTCTCAACGTGGCTTCCGGAAGGGTAGATCTTGTGCCTGCAACCTCCTGACGGCCCATGATCACTGGGCGGAAATTTGGTATCTCAAGGTTCCGGTCCACACAATTTTTCTGGATTTTGCAATAGCCTTTGACACTGTCTCACACACTATCCTAATACACAACACAGCTGGGTTAGGTGTCCTGGACCGGGTTCTATCGTGGCTGCAGAACTTCTAAGACAGTAACGAGTTCTGCACAAAAATCAACAGCGTTCACTGAACTTGGAGAACGTCGTCGTCCGGTGTCTCACAAGGAGCAATCCTGAGTCCACTCTTGTTCCTACTGTTCGAAAATGACCTCCCGCTGCATATCAGCTGTCGAGCTCTCCTCTACGCTGATGAATTCAAGTTGTGGTGGGCAGTAGCCTGCAAAGCGGAATCGAGTGCGTTGCAGAAGGACGGCAAAACACTCAAAGAATGGACAACAAATAACGAACTGGCATTTAACCTGGATAAGTGTTGGTCCTTGTTTTTTCGCACTCTTGATCCCCAGAAAGTGTCCTACTCGCTCTGTGGTTCATGTCTATCCCAAACCACAGCAGAAAGAGACCCAGGTTTAACGGTAACGGAGAAATTGGACACCAGTTCAAAATTGCCCAGGTGACGCCTCAAAAACATACGGTGTACTACGCCTTGTGCTCAGACAACTAGGTGCCCTCACCCCACAGCTCCTTATGTGGTTCCACAAGACTTACGTATGACCCCACTTGGAACTCCATCATGTCTTCGCTGCACCACAATTTAAGAGAGGCCCGAATCTACTGGAGAGGGTTCAGAGTCGAGCCACAAATTTACTGAGGTCTGGGGAAAAATATATGAGGATAGACTGAAAGACCTAGGCCCATACTCTCTTATCTGCTGGAGGTTACTGAGTGGCCTGATAACGGCTTGCAAAATGCTTAACAACCCAAGTCACCCGAACAGAGGATTACTACCGAGTGGTCACTATGGCGATCCTCGTCGAAACTCTAAGAGGACTGCTCATCAAAGGTCATAAATTCATGTGCGTTCATTCTTCTTCCTCCGAAACCGCAGGTGCTGGGATGCATTGTCAGAAGAGGTAGTCTCCACCCCACCTGTTGAATGCCTTAAGAAAAAGCTAGAGAGTCACGAAGGAACCCAAGGTCTGCCCACATACAACTGGAAAACGAATTAAACAAGAAATCAACCTATGTCATGCGATTCCAACTACTTTCCACCTACAACCACTTTTCTTCCTACTGTGATCATTTAAGCTCTTTTCATCCCTTCCAACTGCCATGAGTTAGTTTTATCTACCTAGGTTCTTCATATCTTTTCACCCCTTTTCGCCTTACTTCGGTGTAGGTAGATTATTCCATAGGTTCAATTTTCTTTTCTCTCTTACACATATTTTCCTTTCTGGGTCTTCTCTTCACTAACCCTAACTCTCTATAACGACAAGCCCAAACAACCGTCTGGCAACTTGACATCCGAAGAAGTCAACTGTACCACAGTCCAATGCGAAATAACTAACACTTTACCTCCTGCTCTGTATACCACACTAGTGGCTGGATCTACTGCATCGGTATCAGCCATAGACCTGGAACCGTTCCGCAAGACCAAGAAGTGAGCAAGACGAAACCAACTGGTGTACACAAGCTCGTGAAACAGATATTAGATATTAGATTAACGTGTGCTGCTGAATTTGATATTAGAGCGTAGTTTGATCAGCTGCGTTACTTTCTGGAAATGATGGAATCGAGATATCGTGGTTTTCTTAGTAAGGTGAAGCAGAGGCAATCAAATTATTTGCTTACTCATGAAGGATATAAGCATCAAAAATTTACGTTGCTCTGACCGTTCTCAAAATAAGATGGAACATGTACATAATCAAACAGTTTAACTTAATAGCAGATCAAAATTGAGCATATCGCCTAAATCCTACATCTAAATATGTTCGTTGCTTTTGACGCATGGGTTTTTAAATGCTTCAAACTAAACCTCGACGGTCGTAAGACTTTAGTTTTACATGTATTGCCTCTGGCTCTTTTTGGGGAAATTTAGTGGAAAGCCAGCGTAAAAATTTTGGGGAAATTCTAGGAAAACGTAACAATTACCCTCAATTTTCCCTAATCTTACGAAAACTTCCGTGGATATATAGTGACTGTGTTTATCCTTTCATTTATATGTTGCATAAAAAGTTTTACGCATGAGTTCTTTGCCATAACCTTTACATAGGCTACGAAACCATCAACCCTTATCATTCTCCAGAATTTCCCCGAAATGCAGGATCTAGTATATTTCCCAAAACACAGACTTTTGCATACTTCCCCAAAATGGTATGCTTTTGGCACTACTAATCACTGCACTTCACAGTTGATTTTATGAGTGTAGACTAATTTACATTCCTTACCCAAGCTTGAAAGCCACGTATATTTATTTCCCCAATCAATTTTTGTTTTCTGCTTTTTGAAGCTGTTGCAAGTGTGGTTCTGTTTGTCTTGCTACAAATTGATCTTCACTTCTGTCATCCAGTGCCAGCCTTGTTAACAATTGGTGCTAGGTTTGTTAGCATGGTTGAACGAGAGAAAGAATTAATTCTATGTGATCACACAGCCCAAGGGGCAACTGCTTGAAGCTTTTCATCACTGGGTTTTTAATATTGTTGCATTGAGATTTGATATTGCTAACCCTGTAGGAGGAAAATTGACATCACCAACACTGAAATGTCGTAGAGCAGGGGAGAATGTGCCGTTTTTCAGCTAAACGTTTTCTAACTCTCCTTTCTATCAGGGAAAGTAGCATCAGCATGTTACTTCTGGTCATCCGGGGGAAACGCGTTGTCACTATTGCACGTCATCCAACCAGCGGTTTGACTTTTCCTTCGATCCGCCATTGTAAAGTAACTACTTAGGTTGTGACTTATTTTGTCTAACCACTATCCAACAGGCCTTTCTAGCATGGTAGGACATCAAGGAGCAAGCTTTCCAGTCAGTGTATCGTTGGGTCACTATGATGTACAAGACTGACCACCACGTCTAGATAGCAGTTACCAAACGGGGATGGCTCACATAAAATGCTCTTAAGCCCCTCAAAGGCTGCGCTTGGGTTATTTCTACAACCAGTAGAACTTTAGTCTTCTTTGATAATTCTACTTATAAGACCAAATGGTGTCAGTTTTACATTTGGTAGTAGGTTACCTAGGTCTTAGTTAAATCTAAGATAACGTGTCATTATTTGGTTGAAGTACATTCACGGTATTTATTTATGCTATCATGTTCGTAATCTTTATTTCCTATCTACTTTCTATTATAGGATCCACTTATGTAAACTAATAGATGATTATCTTGATACTTCTCAAAGAGTTGTTGGTTTCGACTCCTAAAATGCATTTATCATCAAGTCTGATTGCATTCGCTTTATGTGTGTTTTGCTTTGCTTTTTCGATGCCTCCATACAAATATGAGATGAACATTGTAGGTGGCGGTGAGTGAATGTATTTGAATATTTCGTTTTTCGGAATATCTTTCTTCATTGCATACTCATAGTGTTGTGATTTTGGTAGCTGGTTGGTTATAACTTAATTAGTGCTTTTGAGCTGAACGCCTATTAAATTTTATTTGACAGCCAGTAACGACATATTTGAACGATTAGTTTAAGTGTTTTTCAGATGATTGTTTGCACTATCAGTCGTCTAATGAATATTTACAGGTAATTGGTAGTAGTTGAACACTTCATGATGCTCCATTGACCAATCCGAGTTTTTCAACTCTTCAAGTCATTTTGAATCGTGAGTCTTTGTGTTCGTAATATACTTTGACTAGCATAGGATCTATGGCTCATTGGCTTAGATGTTCAACTTAACTTGTCCGAACTTTGTTTCATTTATCAAAAAAAATACCAGGTATGGTCATCATTCTTCGCACATTATCACTTTAGCACAGTTAAATACAAGGTCATTAAAAATGAATGTGCCACAGAAAATAATGTGGCCACATAAGGGTGTAAAAAGAGTTGATTTGAGAGATAAACTTGGTACAGCTTGTGAACATCGTGAAATGTGCCAGGAAAAATACTTCATTATGAAGACAGAATTGATAAAGAGAGAAGATAAGAATAACAGTTGCTCAAATGGTAATGATTATGGGCCATTTGAGAAGTTATCAAGCCACTGAGTTGCATAACATTCAGTCTCATCCATGGAGTCATGACACTTCAGCAGATGCTAACGCAGTCTAATTATTCCTCACTCTATTACTGCATATCATTTAATGATCACTTGTTTATTCCATTGAATCTCAGGGTTGAAAAACAGCGAATGATATGGAAGCTTATGTGAGGATGCTCGCAATGCATGTCTAAATCACCGAAGCTAGGATAACTTCAGTCACTGAGCGATGACCTTTATTTAGCTCAAACCCGGGCCATCGAAGCTCAGGATTACTTCGGTCATCACAGGATGTGAACAACTACATAAAAACGACGGGCAAGCTGTATGCCTAATCATTGGGGTCTTGGCGCTGAAAAGCCGTGTTTCACAGGCATACAGCAGAATTGCCTGCATCGTGCATCTTACATCTTACAACCAAGTTAACGCTACGACTGCGTCAAAGGTGGCCACGTGTCACATATTTTTCCCTGGCTTTCGATACGCACTTGGAGATTTTATCCATCGCCCTTCTATCAGCACTCACGCAGCTACGCAAATGCACAAACATTTTTATCACTTCCAACGGATCATCCTCTATGTTGAGTGCAGCTGTATGTTCTAACCATCACTGTGAGAATACTTCTGGACTCGTTGGTACGAATCAATCCATGCTTTCGATTCAGATACCTTCAAATTATTGGGGGCCATTTAAATAGCCTGTGTTATGACAGTATTATTGTCATACAGTGGTTTGAATTCAAACCCTGGTTCACAAACCTAAATATTTTCACTGAATTTAATTAATATTGTTGAACCTTCCAAATCAGTATATATTCTGAAGACATGGCATTCTTATTTACATAATACTTTAACTTACTCGTGATAGTCTGTCAGACGTCATCGAAGCAATTGATTTTATGGATTTAAGTGGAGAACTTTACCAATGTCTTTTAAAATGAGCACAGAATTCGCTACTCTTCATTACCAAACACAAATTGACGAACATTTACCACTGTACTGTCGCGTTGGTTCTGAGCTTTTGTACTTCGCAGCATATCAAGTATTATGGTAACTGAGTTCAAGTATCAGGGTGTGCCACATCGGGTGGGAAAGTTAGATATATACCTTGGCTATCTTAACTCAAAACCAACAAGCGGCATGTAAATAGTTTTAGAGTTGTTTATTTCTTTATTGTTGTGTGGATTAAAAGTAGCATTTTTGTTGGTGTGTTGCGAACTAAACAGTGTGGCTATTGAAAAGTGAATTAACAGACATACTTTACATATCAGAAGAATTTTCAAAGGAAATTCGCTGTTTTTGCCTGATTATAGTTTGTTCAACATCAATAGCTGATTGTAGTTCTCTGTAGATACTGTTCCCAACGCTACTTCAAACCTTGCCATAATGTTTGGGGTGTTTGAATTATTGATTAAATTTTTAATCTGTTCAGCTTATGAAATCCCTGGTTATGCTGGTTAGATTCATTGAATTAGATAGTCGACCTTCGTTCAGTGGATAACCAGTCTGAAACCCACCCAGACACCTAGCTCTTATACAACAAATCTGAAACATAACCTTACACATCTATATGTAGCTTCTACATTGTGAATAAGACACTATCCTTATATGGATTTGTGTCATTGCCATCCATTGTTTTTAGAGTGTCTTTCTTCCACTGTCTTATGTCACAATATCGCGTGTAATCTTTGTGTAAATGCCGAGTGTTTCAGGTGTGCCTTTTTAGACTACGCTTCAACATTTGGTTGCCCCAAGACCTCTTTTGCTGAGCAAGCTAACCAAGACACACCGCGTCCTGGATAACCAGCTAGCTTTATTCCTATTGCTCTGAAACGAAATAATTCTGTTCACGGAGGGAAGTGCTCCACCTTAAAGCCTATTGAGACTGGTGTTCCTCAAGGTGCTGTTCTTCCCCCCAGTCTTTCTTTTTCCTTTCTGTATGACTTAACATCTCCAGCTGGTATTAGTTTTATCAGATATGCTGATAACCTGACAGTTTCCATGCCTGGCTCCTCTTCACTAGACTGTTCCCAGCTGAACGATTTCCTATCTACTATCGAACGATGGTCGTGGGTGATTCTCCAGAATGTCAGACTATAAACTTTAGTTACAGACGTTAACGTTACCTATATAAACTGCTTAAGTCTTATACTTCCCGTTTTATCGTTATTTGCATATTAAAGAATGTAACAAGTGTGATTTATCTCGGTATGTATTTTTCTTCGAACGTTTCCTGGCTCTCTCATATCTTTCTAATTTCCAAAAGGATCTTTGACCCAACTTAGGGGAAGGGGGTGAGAGTATCTGCCATAATAGCCTTTTTCCTTCTATTTTATAAACCCTTGTATCTTACATATTCTCCAATATCGTTGCCCTTCATTATTTCCAAGGTTACCGAAGAAAGACTATGCTGTATTCATCATCATCAAGACCAAGATAGGACCAGGTATTACTACGTAACGGTCCAACCTACCACATCTCACATCAGCACATAAAGTAACAAGCAAATAAAATGGATGAAGAGGGAAGAAAAAATCGGTGTAACAAAAGTGGAAAGTAATAAAAGAGAGGGAGGAGAAATGAGAAAATGAGATTGAGTAAAGCGGTTAAGATGAGGACAATGTGTCCATACATCTGCGCCACTGACATCGATTCTGAGACACATTGCCTAAAGTCCCCAACCACTGGTTTCTCTTGTTCCGCGGACAGCAACCGGCTAGTGTGCGTCGTTCTACATGGCTCAAACGAACATTGAAGGACTTCATGCATTAATGCCATGTTTTAGTCTGGCCACCTCGAGCTATTTTTTACCCTGAACCCACTTTGGCCAACATTGTGAGACAGAACAGATGGTGACTAGGCATATGTAACACAAGTCCCAGGCATCTCAGTTGGTGAAGGTTCACGACCGTGTCAACTGACTTACCTCTCCTCCCTAAAACCCTATGCCTGACTTCCGGGTTACTCACGTGGTGATACCACTAAACACGGCGTCTGCTACGAAGGCAAAGGTGTTCAAACACCTGAAGTCTTAACATGTCTTCTACCTTTAATGGCCATGTTTGATAGCCCTACTGTAGAACAGAACGGACTGCGCCGCAGTACACTCAATCCTTAATAGATAATCAGATATCACGGCGGCGTCACAGATAGTGTAAGCTGGTAAAAGCCAACCGAGCCTATGCTGTATTGCGTAGAACTTGAAAGACTGTCAGAAGAACTAGCAGTATAACTCTAAACCTTTGAATTTAAACTTGTGGACAAACCTCTTAACTCATGTAAAGATCTGAAAGGAGTTATTTTATCAAAGGACCAGCATCCTCTTCACGCTAAGCTCTCGACGTGTCGGTCATCAAGCAGGACGACGACTAAGTATATAAGACTTTATGCATATACTGTTAAGTATAAAAACTCTACCGTATTTAGCTCATTTTCCGTAAAACGAAGAAAGTATTGGAAATGAACTAACTGATCAACTTTTGATTTCGATAGCAAAATAATCAAAGATTACACAGCTTGCTGTTATTTATGTGTTACTAATCTGATTTCTAATGTGACTGTTTCAAAACTGTTGTAGATGGAGTAAATATTCTTATCTTTTATGTTAAATTTACACTTTTACTTCATTTTATTATGTATACATATACACTGTTTCAGTCTAATTGATAGGATGTTATTTGACATGCTGAAATATCTTTCAGAATTAAGCTGCCATTATTATTATTGTTTGGGATTTCATGTTAGTGATCAACTTTCCCGTATTTCAAGCCCATCGGAAATACGCTTCATGTCGTATGCTGCTTTCCACCATACTTCGTCGATATTCAGTATTATTATCTCATTTTGGAGCATAAAGCATTGTTAAGGTCATACAGTGAGAATGAAAGAATAATTTTCTTTAAATATTTTAATATTAGACAGCTTGTATAGTCGATTTACTTCCTTGCATTTGTGTATTGTTTTTTTTAAATTTAGAATTCATCATTAATTATCTTCAATATTCCCCGTTACAATCTCGTCACCAGTTTCTAACAATCTTACTCAATCCATTGCATCTGAACTATTCCATATTAGACAGATGGTATCCACCATCTCATCAACAGGATAAATTGAGTGATTTTGATGTGATCAAGGTAGTGTTTATTAATTAGTCACGTTAGTCTTATGTAAATATATCATTTCATCAATTTTTTTCTAATCATCATCTAATTTATTTATTGTAATACAGTGGGTGGATATTTTGAAGGTAATGGGAGTATTACCATGAAGCATAACAATTTTCTATGAGAATTTTATTGGAATTAGGCGTATTTTCATCGTCGAATGAAGTTGATAAGGATACTTAATTATCTGGTTTTGAATTCTTAGATCATGTGTATGGCATATCCAGTCGTAGTCTATGTCGGCATATGGTGATAACCGGCTAAGAAGACTAGCACAGGTGCTCGTAAACGTGAATCAAAATCCATTCAGGGACCGTCTGGATGTTCGTGCAGTAGGTAATGATCTACACCTATTGTAAAGACTACTAATACTACCTGACTTACTAAATCTTTGTAATTGGAGCTGGATTTAATTCATCGGTTGAAAATCAAGTGCTGAAACCAAAGAGAGACAGCTCCTCGTTTGTAAACCGTTTTGTGAAAATAAGAATCAGTTTTAACCTGTAGCTATTGGTTTCAAGTGTTTCAATACGTGTTGTCTTTATAGTAGTAGTAGGCTCAGCAATATCAGCATGTTGAGCATTTAAAATAGAATGATAGAGATCTTTTCTGAAATTATTTAAAATTTCGGCTTTTTTTCGTCTGCAGTCTTAAGCTTGCTTTTCTTCATAACCTCCTCTTCATGCTGATCTAGCAGATTTCCTCTCATCATGTTTTGTAATAAGTATATCAGCTGAAACTCGCAGACTGTTTACCACAGTGTGGCTATGTGTGCCGGTCATTTAATCAGACTATTTTGGGAACCGGAAGTAAAAGTTAACAAAAAAAGCCTAATTCTTCACGGTTAAGGTACTTTGCATAGTTCAAGGTTTTTCCTGGAGAATTGTAATTCATCTTGAAGGTTTGTGGGATTCATTTATTGGTTTCAGGTTGATATTCACCATGGACTGACAGCAGTTGAAGAAACACTAGAATCCTAGGAACACCAGACAGCTGTTTCGTCACAGTATGGGACTCCTCATCAGTGCATACTCATGACATCACCAAGTATCTGCGGTCAGCACGTTACCCAATGAGCCAATGGTAAACTGCTGTAGACAATATGGTTTGCCATAGTGTTACAATCTGTGTAAATTCTTACACAGTAACTTTCAACAGCAACTACACTTTTCATCTGATTCCTTAGAAATGTAAAGGCCGATAAAGCGATAGAATTAGGATTGCATGGTTGAACGGTGTAAAAAATCATATACTACTTATCTATTCACAGATAGCCGTGGTATTCTAGAAGGCCATTATCAGTCATTTTCACAAATATTATTTCTCCAAACAGTTGCTTATATTTTGATGTTATAGACGGTGGGAATCAATCATCAAAAAGCCATGCTTAACCTACGTTTTGTGACTGTTGGCACTCATCAGTAATTCGTATTCGTAACCATAAAGAAAGTACAGTTCCTTCGGTGATTCAAACCTTTGCCACTCAGTATGATGATAATTTGATTAAAAAAGTGGATAAAAAGATGAGAGAAAATACTGCTAATAATAAGAATAATAGAACTTTACATCTAGGGTTGACTTTCAAATATGAAATAGCTTGTGATGTTTTCACATGCTTCAAGCTTTCAAGCTTCTCAGCCAGATCATTACTAATACGGTGAATTTGTGGAGCTGTGGCTCATTGGTTTAGGGAAGCAGCTTTCAACCTATGGGTCATGAGTTCGAATCCCGCTCCACCTACTAAAGTTTGGGCAGCCAGGTAGTATTATAAGTTGCCACACACTAGGTGTGGCTCAATATCTACTGCAATAATGTGCACAAGGTAGCTAAATGGATTTTGATTCGAATTTGAAATTAGTTATTTACAAGGACCTTGTCTCTATTTGTGTATATAGGTGCTTTTGTGATAACATACCGGTGTGGTTAAAGAAAAACTGATAGATTTCATTGACAGTGCCAAGTTACTTAGTAAATAATCGGCAAGGAATTAAGTTTTACAGTACCTGTTTTGTTGTGTGTATCGAGTCTCTTATGGTTTACCGAAAGGTACCTGACTTCTCTTAAGTATATCACAAGGTTTACGAGGCAAAATAAATATGTATAGCGTTATTACCCCACCTGATGTCAAGTATATGGTCAAAGCGATTCTTTGACAGCCACTTTTAAGTGATATTTCACAACCATATATAACTGCTAGATAGCGTTAATCTGTTCGTAATATTTTATACACCTCTATATATTGTAAAATCCTGAGTGTCTATACACTTCCTACTTCATATATTCGCTCTCCCACCTTAACTTCACGTTGTTTTACTATCACTGCAATGTTACATTTTGTTTCAAGCGCATGAAGTTGTACTAACGAAACTATACTGATATTATGGATATTTATCTATTAGTTTGTGTAATGAGGTCAACTTTAAATTGGAATGTTTATTTTACTTGTAGAAGTCATTCATCATTTATTTTGTTGGCGTTAATTTCAGTTTTCGTGCAAAGTCTCACTAAACTTTGCTCATTACTTGTGCGATTATTGATTTTATCTTTCGTTTATCAGACTTGAAAGTCTATGGTCAGTGTTGTTTTTAGGTGATATGTAAAGCAGAGTACTAATCTTGTTTTCAGTCCTGAATATTGTTATCTTCTCTCTCCATCTGGTTTACAAATGTTAATATATATTTCACTTCATTTCTTAATCCTTCTTTCTGTTGACTTTAATGTGGTGTGTAATTGTGATGCATAGCAATTATACTGGATCCTATGTTGTCTATGTTATCTTGTTAGTCATTCTACTAGAGTCTAATATCATATTTATGCATGCACCCATTCGATTTGTGAGTTGGATCCCCTAGTCGATTATTCTAGTCTTCGAAATGCAACTCAGCGAAATTGTCCACGTTTGTGCAGTGAGTGTTGAACCATACTTGTTTTTGAGAGCTAATGATACTGTCTACCTACACAAACCTTGGTTGTTGCTTCAGGGTTTGAATCCATGATCCACCATTTGGAAGTCGAGAAGCAAAGTTAATTAATCGCAGCCTTAATGATACGTTGTTTTTGATCATCTTTTTATGTCTTTTCCTATTTCTCTTACTTCTAATCCTATTATTTCTTTCACTCAATCACTCACTCATAATGAACATCAGCTAATTGTTAAGTAAGGAGTTTACTGTTCCAATCGACAAAATAAATCAAAGTACAATGATATCGTTGCTTCCCATAGTCTTCTCTTTAGCTGTATACAAGCTCGGATTGAGTATGTGTCAACAAACTTTTCAATAAATAAATTCACTTTCCTATTACAAGACGGAGTATAATATATGTTTTAACATTTTTAATTTCCCGTTGCTACACAGTGGCCGAACTGCTAGTCACCAGGATAAATATAACAACATGAATATCTGGTAGTATCGAGGCATCCGCATAGCAGCCCATCTGCGAACAGAGGTCGAGCAATTCAGCGCTGGATAACGACGGAAAATTAAAGTTTCAAAACAGCAACTGATACCCGTTGCACAGGAGATAGCTATCGTGCCCCACTGTCCTAATGGATAGCGCTTTGGCGTTTGAAGCGATGGGTATTGGGTTCCAGCTTCAGTGGGAACAACATCACCCATTAGGGTGCAGGTACATCCAGCTGACGAGTCCTCCATAGGACGAAACACATGCTGGATTCCACTGCTGGTCACTGAGATGAATATAAAAGCATAATAGAGTGTAAAATACTAAATTGGAATGGGAAGTAGTTAAAAATAACGGATTATATCTAGGATTAATGTGATACTACTAGAATTATCGTGGAAAAGTTTGTCGATTACATTAAAATATAAGCAAAGAAATTAATGATGAAAAGAAAACCCTTATAACCCAGACAAATTGTGGTCAAAATTACGGACTGATAAATTGGAAAAGAGTTAATCAAATTCGTCGCTGAGTCAGTCAATGAATACCTAGTGTTTTAACATTGATCTCATTCCCCATAACCAGTAAACATTCGATCTCTTGATACTGTTAGGTCTCTCAAAGGATAGATATAAGAATGTAAATGTAATGCCATCTCTCTGTTCTACCGGTATACCTGCTTCAACAAATATTTGTACGAGTCAGTTTATATTGAAGTTTACTTTACCATCGTTATGCTTTATTTTTCATTTTTCTTAACTCACCATAAAACACATTTTCATATTTTATTCAGGTTTTTAATCTGAACGAAGATTCCACTTTACAATTAATTCAATATTTATCAAATGCTGATAATATAAAATCTGTTACTACACAGAAACAAATAAATCGTGTTCTACTGAATTACGATGATAATGAACGTGCAATGAATCACCCAGGCAATTGTAGGTTGATATATATATGGTGTTTCTTATTAGAAATTCTCACTTATAGTTTATTTGTGAAATATATCTGATTCTCAGTGATTTTCTATTCTCTAATTTAACTAGTGGTCTATTGTCACTGTTACATTAAATAACACATTGATACCATTTAAATAATAATCAGAATAATAATTCATAATAATAATCATTTTATTCTCAGCATGCAGCATTCCAACAAAAATATATATTGATACTAGGTGATGATTGAAGGCGAAGCTGAACCCTATTCCAACCCAATCCAGCTTCTCCTAACATAGCACGTCTAAGTAGATGGTGGCTCGGCATGCGCACTACACGTCGAAGCGATATCATTCAACTTACTTGTCTTCCCTAGTACCGTTTGCCTGAATTCAACATTGCTCTTACGGTGACAACTAGATTACTGCTTTACTTTATTCTAGAATTCCTTAGAGGTATTCATCCTATTCTGTGGTTGTGGCTCATTGGTCTACACGGTTGACTTCTAATGCACAACGTTTACACTTTCGTCTTTCGTTAGCTGAAGCAATGTTTGCTTCTCATGACAACTAAATACAATTGTTTTCTTTTTCTACCTGTTTATTTTCTACACTATTTAGCTAATAACCTAAATTTTGGACGGAATCTAAGTTTGGTAAGTTTTTGCAACCTTATAACCAATCTAAATCTCTTAGTGTGCATGCTTCCCTTCAAAATTCAACTAAGCATCTTACGAAATTCCTTTACTTTTAACTTATATTGAGAAGGAAGATAAGAATAGTTTTAAATAATCATGTGCTCAGTTTTCAAAGTTAAGTTAACAGTTACGTTGTTAGAGGCAATTCGTAAGAAGCTTTATTTGACCTAGATTTCATCCTTGTTGACAGTCGTCAGCAACCAAAGTGCACTGGGATTCTTACTTACCTAGCTTGGTGATCGAATTACAAATTACAAAAATAATCACTTAAGACTATACAATATGAAATGGTTAAACCTCTAGTGATCACTCAGTGTATTGGGTCAAAGGTAAATACATCTTTCCCATTATGATAAACTTTAAAATACCGACTCATAAGTATTTCATGCTAATACTAACTAGGAAAGTCAATCCTGAATTGATTTGAAACCCTAAAGTTAGTGAATTGTTAAATTAATTTCATACTTATAGTAGTCATAGTAATAGTAGTGCAGCTCAATATGATACGTTTTGCGCACTAGGAATATAAGCTAGCCTATTAAATGTAATCTTACAGTGTCATATGGTTCCCTGGTGGAAGTAGATGAAGTTAGGTCCGTGTTGTAACTAACCTAGGAAATGAAAATCGGAATCTCAGCAAAGCTTTCTCCGCTATATTGTATTATTTATTTTAAGAGGAATCTCACCTAAAATTTATTTTATAGTATTGTTCTATACCTGAGCTTAATAGCTTTTCATTGACTCATTTCCGTACAACCCATGATTCTAACATATTTACGTATTAAGTGAAATCGATTATTCTACACTATCCCGATTTCGCTATTGACTTAACCTGCTCATCGTGGATGAGTAATTTAGTGTTGCATATAAATGACTGTTTTGATTAGACAGGAAAAGTGAACAACTAGTTTTGAACTTTTATATTGCATGTAGAAAGACGAAAAACACTGATACCTAAAGTATCTGAGCCCCCAGTTCATTTTTTAACTCATAGGTTTGTACAAAGCATAGGTAATTTCAACAATGTTCATATAAATGAGGTATGTAGACAGTCAGAATAACGTGTCAGTTTTTAATGTTGAGTTTTAGATAAAGATGGGGAAATTCAGGAAAAATTCTTAGCTTTCTTAGTGACTGAAATGATTAGGGACTTTTTTACATGCCTACTAACCACTTATCTGAATGCACGATACTACTGATTAGAGATAAAGATAAGCGAATAAAGGGTGATTCATTTGTTAAGGCAAACAAACTGGTTGCTGAATGTAAGTGATATAACAATAACTAAAAGTTGATCTGCCTTGATGTTAACTATTCGATTTCACAAGTGAAAACTATAAAACTTTGAATAGCAAACCTAAAAGTCACCTCAGCATTTCTGATGTCTTGTCTGCACTATAGTTGTTAAGTGATATTGTAAAGATGTTAGCATAAAGATAACTAGTTACTTTGTTATACTGTCTACTTTCAGTCACTGAGTATATTAATGTACCAGTTAAGGCTTGTGCATGCACTGAAGTTCATTTACTGCGAATCCACTTAAGTGAACAGGGGAGGCCTTTGAAATTCTCAATCAGTTCACTGATACCATTCTAATTAGGTTTATATGCATTGCAGTTCTAAATTGTTAGTTTGAATTGTATGAGTGTTAGACATATGTAAACCCACCTTAGATTTTCCCTTAAGAGATATCCATAAGACTCATTTTCGCCAGTATTACCTATCAACTTTGTTTTCTAAGTGAGTCCTGTAGACATGAAGCAGATGGTGGGGAAAGTTAACTTAACTATAACTGTTGTGATACGTTTGGATCAAAAGAAAATAGTTCTCGTATATCATGAATAACAACAATCTTAATTGTTAATCGTCGGAGAAATAAATAGGTCTATTGCTAGTTCAAGCGAATTATTGTCTTGTCTCTTTCATTATAATAATATTGGAGATATTTCGCTTTAACTAATAAACTTTTGAAGCATTTCTGTAAACACACCCCAATCAGCGGTCCCTTTTTTTATCTTTCATGTAACCCGTTTGATATTTACAACTCTGTTCTAGTTTGGCGATTCAAAGGGAAATGCTCTTGATGGAACTTTACCACTGGATCACTTGAAACAGGTAAGTATTCTTTTAGGATCGAATTCCGTGTTGTAATACACATTTATTATTTTGCGGTGTTTCAGAGAGAAGTGTAACTTTCATGTTCTTAGGATGTAGTTGGTTCAGACTTTTAAATTTATGTATGTTGCAATTTAGTAGTCAGCGTAAGGTATACATAAATTTAATAGCAGGCACAGATAGAAATGTGGATTGAATATAATCGATAATAATAATAATAATAATAATAATAATAATAATAGTAATATGTAGTCATTATTGGCTTCGATTTCAATACAAGCGGAGGCGATAGTGAAATACAGTATTAAACGACGTGACTGAAAGATGATGACGTACATGTGTGTATGCGGTCTTACTCAAAGAAAAAATACAGGCTTTAGAAGATGATCTGAAGAAGTTATTGGAAACAAGTTCTCTCTCAGATGTTTCTTATTTTCAATATTTAACATGAATCCTTAAATTATAGATTTCCATTTAAAGCAATCTATGAATTTGTATTGGTGTCGTTTTTAACTGTCAGTATTTCTCCTTTTAAAAAAAAAATCAGCCGTGGAAGTTGTTAAATGCTGAATATGCTTGGTCTCGAGGTCTATGTGGTAATGGTGTACGTGTAGGCATATTTGATACAGGATTGGCATCACCTGATCATCCACACTTTCTATCGAGTAATATTGTTGAAAGAACTGATTGGACAGTGGATATGGGTAATGTAAGTTGGTGTGACGCAATTTTTAGTGCTCTGTTTGGAATCATATGTATTTCAATTTTGGAGCAATTGATATCTTGACTTATGTATTTATTAGTTGTTAACTTAAGCAGTTCACTCTCACTAACTCTACCTCTGTGAAACATGATTATTGAAGGTAGATGACATGAGTAGGCTCCAGACGTTCGATCACCATCGCCTTCGTAGCGTAAACCGTGTGCTGTGATGCCACTATGTTCGTGATGTAAAGGTCATATATACGATTTTAAGCAGAGGTAAGTCAGTTGATGAAGTTGTGAAACTCCGTCGACTCAAATGACTGGGATATGTGCTATGCAAGCCGAGTCACTGTCTAGCCCGTTGGCTGGAATAGGTTGAGGGTGGAAAAAGATTAGAGGTGGTCAACGTAAAACATGACATCAGTCGGTAATATCTTTGACTATTGCTCTCAGCTGTTTAGCGAAATGCAGATTTTGTTGTTGGAGTCTGCGTGATAACCAAAATCGGCATTTGAAAACTCTTGGTGATATGGCTCGCAATCAACCTCAGTGTTTCAGATGCTTCATTTTAACTGTTGTATCGAATTTCATCATTGCTTCCATTCTTCCTTTTTTATTTCCATCAGTTTCTCCCACTTTTGATTGATTTCTTTCTTCCTCTCATGAAAGAGCCATGGCTCATTAGTTTGGGGAGATGACATCCATCCAGTGGGTCATGGGTTCAAGCACTGCTCCAAATACCGTGGTTTGGTCAGGCAGGTAGTATCACTAGCTCTCAAACGCTGGGTGTGGTTCACTACTTACTGTACGAATGTGCACAAGGTTGCTGAGTGCATTTCGATTTTTTCGATTTCTATATTCCTTTCATGTTAGTGCCTCCCAGTTTGACTTACTGATTTGAAGTATACCTACATGAACCCTTACGCATTAATGCCAGGTCTCATGTTGAGGGTAACTTACTAAATACGCATGATTATTTGTGATTTTTCCTTTCTCCACCTAGACATTATTCATTGAGTTTCAACTGTTTACTATGTTTACCAAGTTTTCATTCACCTTGCTTCCAAGGGGGATGCAATATCTGGTAAAATACACACGAGAATCAAAGGAGCGCTAAGAAAAGCTTTCTTGTAGGTAAACTTGTATCGATACTGTATGCTCACCGAACCAATCCAAATTGGATAACCATGCTACTGTTGTCACCAACTGTTTATGAATTCACATGCACTTTTGGTAGCAAGTACATTAGAAGGGCTGAGAAGGTGTCTATTCAGTTCCCTGAGCATATCCTCAAGAGTTTGTGTTTGTAAGTAAAATTGTAACCATTACAACTCCCAGACACCTCGTAAAAACAGGAAATCAAATTGATACCTCTAATACTTTCAAAATAATAAACAAGTAGGAAATGCCTGGATTGATGCTTTTTGCGGAACCGATCGCTATAGAATGCTTTCAACCTGATCTTTGCTTACAGAAGGAGGTTGTTGTTTATCCCTCATTTCCATTGCGACTATAATCTGGTACTGTTTCATTCTAATTGGATTACGTTACAAACAAACGACTTTCTTCAAGTTTCTAACAATAGTTTAGAACAACTAAAGTCAACCATTTTTAACTTCTGCCATCGGTATATTAGTGCGAAACTGAATACTAGGAGATTATTATTAAAAGAACACAGATCCCAAATAAAAGATCCCCTCACAAATTAGGGCTTATTGTTTATCTGTCCTGATAGATGTTCTTGTATCATCCTCATGAACTGGCATACTCATTTTACAAATTTATCCCTCATACTATCAGATAATAATGAATTTTCGTTGAAACTGTTCAGAAAGATACAACTGAACAAACTAGTAGATCATTGACAATGGTCTCTCACACTATTTGAAACCATTTAGCTTTGTGATCGCATAACTTTATGACCTACCACTAATACCCAAGAAGGATGTTTCTCTTTGTCCGATATTGGATATGAATAATTCCCTATACCATCCAGTTTATAATTGGCTGGCTGAAATTGACCTACATTTTTTGTCTACAGCTTTATCTATTCTCTTCTTCTTGGATAATTAACAAATTGACAAACAACAATTCAGCGAAGAAAATTTTCTTTTCGACAAATCATTTTCAAAGGCTCTACATTATAATGATAGTTATAGAAGAATATGTACTCGTCAAGGCTAACATAAAGTTATCAAACACGGTCAATAAAGTCAGAAGGTCAGATCAGGGTCAAAGAAATAAATGAACTATCTTAGGAGGGTAACGACTAACGTAGAACTAGAGGCTGAATGTATCTCTTTTGAACACTGTATTGTCGTATTACCAGAGCTTGTGCAGTGTTGGGGTGGAGAATATGCACTCACTTCGAAATATTTGACTTCACTTTACAAATAACTTTGAAAGAAGACTCTCATGAAGCAAAATGACGAGAGTTAACCAAGTGCTTGAGAATCGAGCTGTCAACGGCTTTACACTGTCCTTTAGATAGCCAAGCAGGATAGTGTTCGGAGATACGTTTGGATAGAACATGCTTTATGTGGCCTATGTAACCAAACTCCACAATAACAGTTGAGTTGGTAAATACACATGGAGGTGGCCAAAAGAGGTAGTTTCTTTCTCCTTTACGCACCCTCGGATCAGTTGTTGACTGGAGTAAACAATCTAAAGCTGAGCGGAAAAGAAGGTCTTTTTCAGTGCTTTGCGTAGTCGATTCTTCAGTATCTTTGCCAATGTATCTCTCCTGAATCCAATATTCATAAACAGTGTCTTCTTCGAAAAAATAGGGCGCTTCTTCTTTGAAGATCTTAGGCTTCATGTTTCTGTCAATGAATCTTGAAGGATAACCATCCTCGATTAATACTCCTCGAAGTATTTCCAGCTCCACATTTACTGCATCATCCATACAAATTTTTTTAATTCGTGTGCCTAGTGAATGAATTAGATTTCTTTCCCTGGCTAGTGCAACATCTTTGAAAATCAGTATATTGACCATCCCAGGTTTGTATTCTGTGAATCGATCTCCTTAGGCAATCGTTATGTCTTCTTCCTAATAGATCGTCCAGGAAGTGTAATTCTGAGTTGTTTTCAGTTCCCATGGCAAAGTTAATTAACTTATGACATTCATTGAACTTTCTTAGTATTTTTTCTATGTTGTTATCCTCCTCACATATGATAAAAGTGTCATCTGGTCGTTCAGTGGACGTAGTTTATTGTTCTTCAAACTAGCCGTGAAGCAATCAGTTAAGAGAGAATCCAATGATGAACCCATTGCTACGCCGTCAATTGTATATGGAAGGTACATCGTAGATTCAATGATGAACTTTGTCGACAAATATGGGGTAAAAATGGGTTCACCATACATATTTTGTTGTAACTATGATTACAATGTAGAGCTTTTGAAAATGATTTGTGGAAAAGAAAATTTTCTTCGCTTAATTGTCTTTCATTGATTTTTCTTGGATAATTTTCGCTCATTTTAATCTGCATTCACACGTGAAACTCTCTACTTTATTACCCCCCTCTCCCCTCATCACCACCTAAGTCTCCATTAATGTTTGTTTTTAGAGTGCTCACACTCTAAATGAATATATTTAATTGTAAAATAGTGGATTTTCACCAATTTACTAATTAATTAATCCATTTTTCAGTACAATATAATCATTTAACTTAATGATATTTCTATCTTGTCCCAAATGAATACTGATCAATGCTTTAACACTGTTCAGTTTCCGTAATGTCATTTACTTGCATCTTTCCTGAAGATGACTTCTATGATAAACTGACTTGAACAATCTCCACTGTTCAGTAGACTTCGTTCTAAATCATACTGTGGATGTTTAAACAAATAAAATAATGCAGCAACACGATATAAAAAAGAGAAGATTGATAGGAAATAGAGAGCAGTTACGATGTTACTTGTATTATCCTGTCGTTGATTAAACCGAGTTGATCGGTCTCTGTTGGCATATGAGCTCCTATGCGGATACCTCAATGTTGCCTGTATTTCCACTTTTGATATTAATTATGGATAGTGGCTAGGAGTGGAGTCCAGGAGACACTAGCCACTATCCATTATTATCAAAATTCGTAATAGAAGCAATATCAAGGCATCCACACAGGAGCTCATATGCCATTAGAGACCGATCAATTCGGTCTAGTCAACGATGGATAACGCACAAGCAACATCATGTAAATTATACCCGTTACACAAGAAGCAGCTATTGTAACTCGATGATCTAGTGGATAACGTTTGGAACGATCTTTCCTGGGTTCGATTCTTAGTAGGAGTAACACCACTCACTGGGAGGCAGGTCCATCCAGCTGACGAGTCTTAAGTGGGACGAAAAATGTATTCTGTATTCCACTGCTAGCCACTATCCACTAGTACTAGTGGGAAGGATTAGAAAAGAAGCTGTTGCAACATAAGATGCGGTCAACAACTTTGTTTACCTTATGTGATTATTACTGTTCAGAAACTATATAAAAACGGAAATCGTGGTATGATTGTGACTAGTTTCGATTTTAAATCAAATCTTTTAATTATTTATTGATACTTGTAATTCCGCGCTGATTATTATACTGGACCGAATTGACCAACCACTGTTGACATATTAGCTAGTGATCGGATGCTTCGATATTGCTTATTATTTCGGTCGAATTGTTATCATAGACCACTAGCCTATTTGATAGTGTTCTGACATTTGAAGCGATGACTACTGGGTCTAAATGTTAGTGTTAAACAGCGTTACGCACTGGGATGGTGTACATCCACTTGATTGGTCTCAAGTAGGATGAAACTCGTGTCCCACCGCCAACAAGGAAATCATATCTTCTAATTATTTTTCAGGTTATTGAATCAACTGATGCAATTATAGTTGATAAGCGCTCATAGCTATACTACATATAATAGTACTGCGTCATGAATTGACCACCTTGACATTTCTCAGCCATATGTGAACTGTTTGGGAAACCCCTGTGGTAGCTTAGTGTTCAATATCAGGATTTGGATAAGTAATCCATATCCATTCTGTATGCAATTATTGTATTTTCAAGTCTAAAGGAGATGAATAGCATTCATAGTTCTATGGAAAATTGCATGTGTTTGAAGCAGAAAAAAGTGATAAACTTCTTATGTCGTGCGTTTCTGGTGTATATGTTGTATTGAGTTTGTTGTTAAATGAATGATAATACTATGATCAGGGTTACTAATAAAAGGTTTCTGTGTTATGAGCGCTTCTCCTTGATTGGATTTTTATTAAGTGGTTATTACTGGAATTTTCGTTCGAACCAGTAACTTAGACTAGAGTAGTTTTATCCATCACGGTGACCTGTAATAGAGCCAAGCTTCCTTCAATCTAATATATGTAAATAGTTTCACTTAATGGATTTTTCACCCTTGCCAACCGATAAAAGTAGGAAAATGTGTGCCATTGGACCGTGAACCTGTGACTAAATTGTAATACACTGACCGTGGAACCTTAAGATCCTGGGTTCGATCCTTGGCGTGGTCATGGGTGCAGTTTACTCAGGAAGTCCCATACTAGGAAACTGAGAAATAGCTGTCTAGTGCTCTAGGGTTTTCAATGATTCTTCGACTGATGTCTGTCCGTAATGAATACAAACTTGAAATACTAATCATAATAACTTCAATCTCCTGTGAATTATTTAAAAGTGAAGATATCGGTCCAGGATGATAAGTACCTGATATATAAAGCCACTAGCTGATATTCATTCAGAAATACAAAGTATTTTATTTAACGCTTATTTTGTGAACTATGAGGCAAGTCATGTCAACATAATCATTCCACGCCAAAATTATGGTCTTTCATTACCAGTTTTCCTTTCTCGTGGAGTTTTGTAGTTAACATCCAGTTTATGAGGGATTATTATCCTTATACAGCTTTACGTTTACAAGTGGTCGATATCTATCAAGAATCAGCAGAAGTAACTTGATATTGCATGTTTGAACTAAAAACTGCAAAATACATAACTTTGACACTGAAATATCATTGTCTGTCTAGGCATCTCATTATCTGAATATTTTTGCACTGCTACGTCTTATCAATCCCTATGAATCACCAACTGAACTGAACGCAAAACGAGACTTTAGCCAGCAGTTTTTGTTTGTTTCATACCATTAGAAGGCCGGAGCTGATTGGTTAGTGTCGTTGTGTATAATTGGAATCTGAATCATCTATACGCACAACTAAATCATCTATGCACGATGTGCACGCTAAATCATAAAAATGAAATAACTGACTTCATACATCGAAATCGGGTTGTACGTAAATGTGTAATATGTCAATGGAAAGCTCTTGAGCTAAACTACAGAATAGTTAAAATATCTTTGAGAATAAATCAAATGATACGTTCAATAAAGCTTCATTTTTTCTATTCGTTATAACATTTACTTAAGGTGTGAATTCTAGCAGACCGGATGCTTGTGTTCCCCTGTAACAACAGGTGAATTTTCTTTGCATAATAATGCACTGAAGAATAGTCTTTCGAAGTTAGTAGTGTGTAATGAAAGCTATATGTGCGACTCAGTTTAGGTAGTAGTAGCTCACGGTTTGTTTAATGCATATGCTGATGTTTATGTTTTCATTTTCCTTATCATATTTCACACTTTTTTTCCGCCTACATTTTAGAGATCCTACTCAACAGATGATATTCCAGCCTTAGATCGACATGGTCATGGAACATATGTAGCTGGCCTCATTGCAGCTCAGAATCCCAACATATACTACTCAGATTCTGACGGTTCTTTCAGTGAACAACGAAGAGATACTACTTGTCCACCGTTAGGATTTGCACCTCGAGCAGATTTATTTATATTTCGTGTATTCACTGATGCACAAATTTCCTATACATCATGGTTTTTGGATGCATTCAATTATGCTATCAGTAGAAAGCTGCATGTGATTAATTTAAGCATTGGTGGACCAGATTTTTTGGATAAACCTTTTGTTGATAAGGTGATTAATCTAATTTGTGATTTTGAATTTTTTTTTCCCCAATATGTTCCATTGCATTTGTGTAAACGGATTAGTATTTTCAATCTGCAAGTTTGCATGGCGGTTCTCCCTAGTTGTCTTAAACAAACAGTCAAAAATTAGGAAGCAATCAACTTCTCTCTGTTAAGAGTTTTTAATGAAACTCACATGGTAATTGTGAATCCATCACAAATTCAATCCATGTGTAGAAAACAGTAAGGCATTAGACTACTAAACACAGTGGGTCACAAGTTTAAGCTGACACTACGAATCAACACTAATACCTTGAATTAATCACATTTGCCTGTTGCATCTACCCAACTATTGTTTCTTAAGGTTATTCCATGCTAGACTGGTCTGTTAGGTAGTAGTAAGGATAAAAGTGTTTGTCGTCATCGTGTCAATACTTTACACCACGTTGGGGCTTCGGAAACGAAGTCAGGTGGATGACTACGTGGAGTGTCACAGAAGTAAGGTGTTTCCCATGGATAATCTGCATTCCGTGATGATTTTGCCTTGAAATTTGCAGTCATGCAACACTAATCTACCTTCCCTTTCATATACACACAGAATTTGTGCACTTTCATGGTGTCACCGACCAAACACACTTTCCCAGTAGTATACAAGTCCAGTATGACAGTAATCTATCCTGTTTGCCTATTACACTCTCCTTAACTTTCCTTCGATCGATACTATGACCCTTCATTTCCCTCAACATCGTAATTTGCGATGATTTCTAACTATCCAAACCAGCAAAGCTCAATTTGTAGTCTCCTAAAACTGCACTAACAATCGTAAATTGGAACTTTCAACGTTAGAGACAAGTAGCTCCCATTGCCAAAACTCTTGAATCTTGAGCCACTAGTGTGTGGTATATTTCTGAGACAAGTATACATGATCGAAACATACTGATTCATTTGACATCACCTGACCAATGCAATAGATCGGAGAAATTCGCCTTGCGGGTTTTCGTAAATCCGGTGGTTAGTTCCCGCAAATTCACTTATACAGGTGTAGCATTAATTTTTTTTAGAAGAAAGCATACTTCTTGGTTAGACACCAGTTAATGATCGCTTCTGCTCTATCAATCTGAATGGATCTGTTTAAAGTAGGCAGGACTGTAATACTCGGTAATGTCTTTTTGCAGTCTCCTGTCACCTATTGCAGTTTGGATGATGCAAATAATGAGTTTTACAAAACTGTCAATTTCTTTCTGGAGTGGCAATAAGTTCAAATATAGTCATGCTGATGGCTGACTTCATCATCCAATCAGGAACATTAAACCAATGAGATAGGTATCACAGAGGTGTCTATAGCATTCCACCTTGGCAAAAATGACTACAAGGTATCATGTACAATTTAGTCCTGACGATTACTTATTCCTGGCCAACAACATCGCTAATATGATGAGAGACATTATCTCATTTGGTTGCCACCAGCATAAAGTCAGTGTCTGACACATAAATCATATTGCTATAAGCCATTCTTAAACAAGGTGGTTAATGGTGGAGTATCCTTCTTTCTGGAGTACATATTTGAACTAAGATCATGCGTTAATTCAAGTACTTCTTTGTTTGCCACTTAATGAATGCAGCAAAAAAAATATTCGTAAGAACTCTGTGCTCGATTAGAAGATAAAAACGTCAAGTATTCGTTTATGGAGAAGGTAACTGAGCATCTAAACATCCCATAATGTAAAAGGCTAAAATCCTTAGGTTTATTTAAACTTTTATATCGAGTAACCTTGAAAATTTACCAGTAATAAAGCAAGTTTTTTGGATCAGATTTTTTGGAGGTTTTTAGGGATTTATTGATTTCAAGTTGGTATTCATCATAGACTGACATCAACTGGAAGAACATTGGAAACCTGGGAGCACTGGATAGCTGTTTCATCCTAGTAGCAGTACAGACCCAAGACCTTCAGGTCCCATGGCCAGCACGTTACCATTGAGCCCCTGGGTTGGAATCAAATGGTTCATATTTCCAACTCCTATCAGTTCACGACATTGTGCGACCATAACCCAATGTCATCGTTGAGTATTTGCCCCCACGTTCACCGGGTTCGCTCTACCAGTCATAACTTCTCATTAGAACTTCGGATATCACCTCTCGAAGCTAGTCACGGAACCTGAAGGTGATAGGTTCGTACTGCTGAGGAGTTTCATACTTGAACGAAATGGCTGTCCAGTGCTCTCAGGTTTCCAATTTTCCTTCAACTAATCTCAGTCCATGAAGAATACCAACTTGAAATAGTGATATTTGCCTGTAACAATAGTTGCACTTCTTGATATGAAACAGCATGAATTCAACTAAATGAAAAGTAGTGTCTTCAGTCACCATATCGTTAGTAAACAACAGTTTTCATTCTTCTTTTTGGTAATTTTGTTCAATACTCATTCATTTCATAACTTCAGGTACTATCTAATTACACCTACAGATAGCAGATGTAAAGTATAAGCTTTTTGCCAAAATGATAATGAGGTACTTATTATTTAATGCAGTGAGATATTAGATGTCACTTAAACATAGATTGTCATTGTATATAAAGTCTTATAATTGATATCTCTTGGTTTTATGATTTTTCTAATGATTGCTAAATCCAGGTGCAATTTGTTACTTGATTAGCGTTATCAGTAAAACATTATGCATAACGTTGAGAAGACTATACAATATAGGCTGTAAATATATTACAATGAACGCTAGACCGCGGAAAAAAACCTAGAAGATTTAGATTTCGCCGATGACTTATGTCTAATGTCACACAAACTCGAAGATCTACAGGCAAAAACTAACAAGTTGACAGAAGAGGCAGCGAAGACGGACTTCAAGTGAACGTAGAGAAGACAGAGGTGATGAAGGTATCCACCCAACAACAACAACAACAAGCTCCAACCACCATCAATGGGAGAAACTTAAGGGAAGTAGTCTCTTTCACCTATCTAGGCAGCACTGTTTCAACTACAGGTGGCACAGACGAGGATGTCAAAGTCAGCCAGGATCGGAAAAGCAAGACAAGCGTTCATTAACCTGAAAGCAGTGTGGAGATCTGCACTTGGCATAAAGCGTGAATAACATCTGAATTTTCAACACCAACATCAAGTCAGTGCTTCTATGTGATGGTTCAGAGACTTGGCGCGTTATGAAAGGCATTTCCAACAAATTACAGACATTCATCAACAACTGCCTACGCTGGCTCGTTACTGAAGATCAGATGGCCAGAAAGAATCAGCAACAAACAACTCTGGCAACGAACCAACCAAGAACCTATCGCTCAACAAATATGCAGTGGAAGGAAGTGGAGATGGATCGGGCATACACTGAAATGGCCGACTGGGGACATCACGCTTCAGACCAGGTACTCGAGTGGAAGCTGGATGGGAAGCGACGAGTTGGGCGTCCGTAACGAGGGTGATATTGAGGAGATCGTGCGAGGAAGAAATGAGAGCTTGTGGGCAGTCGTGGCGACAGGTTCAAAAGATTTCAGAGAAAAGAGTACACTGGGGACTTGCTACTGAAGCCCTGTTCCATTAGGAACCCAAGGGATAAATAAATAAATAATAAATATATTACAATGACGTAAAATTCTATACCCACTGGTGTTATTACATGACAGTTGTCATTATATCTTGGGATTTTTATAGTTGGGTGAATTTCCCCCAATACTTGCTGCATTGCTTCAGTGCTTCTGGGTCTCAGTGTAAAAGTGATCAACAGCATGAGCTGCTAAAATGTTTCAGTGTGGGTGTAGGCACCTTTCAAATACTGTCTTGTCTTCGATAATTCTTGAGTTGACTATAAAAATCATTTTCTGATTTCTAGTGATTATATAAAGTTAGATTCTGGTGTTTTTGTTTGACTTTTTTATTATTTTAAAACAAAATTCTTAACAATTTCTAGGTTTTAGAGTTATCCGCAAATGGAATTCTCTTGGTTTCTGCAATCGGCAATGATGGTCCTTTGTTTGGAACTTTGAATAATCCAGCTGATCAAATGGATGTGTTAGGTGTTGGTGGTGTTGATGCTTTGGGTCGAGTTGCACAATTTTCATCGCGTGGAATGACTGGTTGGGTGAGAATTAAGTTTAAACACACTTCCTTTTGTGTCATATATGAGTATGTTATAGAAAATTACTGATGTCTACATGTACTACTGTGTTCTCGATGAACTGAAATTTCGTAATTGTGCACAATTAGTGTATTTTCTCACCTTTTTTTAAAAATTCAAGGTAAGCAACATCCTATGAAAGGTGCATATTTCAGAATAGATGAATTCAGACTAACTGTTTCAAGATGAATTTATTTCCTGTGAATTTCAATTCATGTTTTGCCTAAGTGGTGATATACTGAATATAGTTCTGTGTCAGTATTACTCATAACTAAACATCTTTTTTATGACATAATGCAAGTTTGATTCGCGATGTTATAAAGTTTACTGAGACTTCATATCGGTCTTTTTTTCCAGCACTTCCATTAGTTTCAATTATAAAGTAGTTAAACTAATTATCGAGATAATAGTTTCGTTGCCAGTGTTAGTACTCTTCTTCATGTAGTATCGAAATTCACAAACATGTTTCTTTCACGTACCATATTCAGCTTTGAAACTGTAAATGAATGCACTGAAGATGCTGTCGGAAAGCAGGGTCTTCTGGATACTTTAAATGGAAATTAAGAATATTTGGGATATATTTCGTGCCACCCAAATCCAAATTGTTTCTCTAGGAAGTGGCCTGTGTTGGAACCTTGTTTGCTAAAAATAAGTGAAGTGATTGAGCGCGTTGACCGCTTACGTCGTAAGTCGGTCCAGCTCTGCTCAGTCAGTGACCGACAAAATTAAATTAGCTTTCATCACCTTACAGCGTCTATGGCATATCCAATTGTCTATTTAACGGTCGGGTGCACTGAGTAAAAGAACATGATACGATTTCAGCTTTTTGACCACTGTTGCCTTCATAGAATAGGCTGTGTCGTGGTGTTACTGTGTCAGTAATGTAGAAGTCAGGCGTCAAGTTTCAGGGAGAAGAGGAAAGTTAGTTGATGAAGTTGTAAACTTTTATCGACTCAGATTGTTAAGACATGTGTTAGGCATGGGTAGTCACCACTTACCCCATAGCTCAATGTTGTCTGAAGTAAGTCTGGACTGGAAAATGGTTAGAGGTTGTTAGACTTAAAAGATGGCATCATTTGACGAAGTCTTTGATCGTTGGTCTGAACTGTCTAGGGAAATGTGGATTTCCCGATTTTAGTTTGCTTTCCAACCGAAATCGGTGGTTAAAAGAAACTCCAGATGATGTTGCGCTTGACAGATCTCATTGGCGCAGATAAACACACACGTTATCCTCACCTTAATCGTCATGCTCAATCTTAGTACTTTCTCATTCGGTTTGACTCTCTTTTTATGACTTTCCACTACTTTTGTCTTCTTCGTTGTTCGTTTTTTATGCTTCGTCTTAGTGCATTCTCACTTGATGTGCTTTATAATGAAGCGTGTCAACTTGAACCGTTAGATAGTAATGCCTGTCTGTTCTATGCCTCAGTGCAAATGGTGTAACTTAGCCCAATACATAAAGGAAGTGCATATTTAAGGAACCACAAATAGAAGCTATTATTACTAACAAAAATCATGAGTGTATAAATATTCTTTTTAAACCAGATTTACTGATGGTTTTAATACAGCTTGTTTTTTTCTGTTCTTCTCACCTCCACTTATGTTATTGTTATTACAAAGGAGCTACCAACAGGTTATGGACGTGTTAAACCTGATATTGTCACATTTTCTACCGGCGTGATTAGTTCCAATTTAGACGGTAAATGTCGTGTGCTATCTGGAACTAGTGTAGCGTCACCAATTGTAACTGGAGTTGTTATCTTACTGATTAAGTGAGTGATTATTTTATGTGTCACTTGCTTTTTCCAATTAACTAATTTGTGGTTTGTCCTCAGCCGTTTCATTTTGATTTGGCTTTTCCCATCAATAATTGTTCGCAGCCTCTTCAAATTCAATTTCTGTTTACCGTTGGTAAATATTCCTACCCATCTACTTTACTCCTGTTAATCATAGTTTCTTATGTCAGTGTCAAGATTTATTTCCAATTAGCATCGAACTTCTCTTCACTATTCCTTTGCCGTTTTAAATTGGTTCCATTTATCTTTATTGAAGATTATGCTGTAGGTTTTTTCAACTTAGAGGTTTGTGGAGATATATTTATTTCAGGTTGATATCATCACAATTGCATTGTTTCAATGTGCCACACTTCACAGTAGTATACAAAGAACAGGTGGGTAAGAAAAGAGTGATATCAAGGTAGAGAAAGCTATGTGAGAGAATAAACAGTCTGAAGATAACAGTTAGTGCAAATATTCAAACTCTAGAAGATGTCAAGGAGTAAATACATCTGCGTTATTGTGGCCGATTTCTAGCCATATCACCAAGAGTCCTCAACCACTGGTTTTTTCCATCTTGTGGACCCTAGCCAGGCAGTCTACATCTTTCCACATGTCTTATACCAGCAGTAAGAGTCTTGATCGACCGATGCCACATCTTCGTTTGGCCACCGTGAACCCTTTTCCAACCTAATCCAGCTTCATCTAGTATGACACGTTGAGGTAGTGGTGGCTGGGAATGCACAGTACATGTTCCAGCCATCTCAGTCGACCAAGGTCCACAACCCTATCAATCGACTTGCCTATCTTGCCTAGTGCTCTTCACCTGACTTCAACATTGCTCACACAGTGACTCCACCAAACGCAAGCAGTGCTACGAAGACACATATGATCATAACCCTGTAATCACTTCATGTTTTCCACTTTTATCGACCATGTCTCACAGCCGTACAACGGGACGAAACGAACTGCAGCGCAGTATACTCGCCCTTTGCTTGATAGTCGAATATCTCACCGGCGTCACAGGTGACGCAAGTTGGGAAATGTCAAACGAACCTTTTGTATCCGAGCTAAGATTTTGTCGGCAACCAACTCGTTCAAGCTGATTCTAGTCCCCAAGCAAGTGAAGTGGTTGACACATTCCACCACTTCACTCCTTATCATTAAACTGAGAGTACCTGTAGCAGACTTGTCCTGCAGCATCATCTTACATTTGACGGATGCCAGGGAAACGTATGCTAAATATACTCAGATTTCTGCTCAATGCGTTTGCAAGGCTCTCCATTTTGTCATCATCTTCACCTAGAAGGAAAATACTGTCTGCATATTCCAAGTCAAACAGATGACATCTAGGGAGTAAGTCAGTCCATATGAAGTAAGATGTACCTTAGGTTATGTCCATTAGTGCATCTATGACGAAGTTGAGTAAGAACAGTGACAGTTGGCATCTCTGATGGACACCACTAAATGCTATCATTTCTAAAGAGGATTCCCTGTAGTTCGTAATACGGGTGCATGAGTTCGAGTAGATAGCTTTGAATAGCTTTATTTACATTCTCGGTACTCCTTTTACTGTCAAACACTCTCACAACATCTCACGGTCGTCTGAATCAAATGCCACCACCTCCAGGTCAAAAAATATGGCGTGTATCGGCCACTGACCCTTTAAGTATACCTGTGTTTCAGAACCTGTTGGAAGGTGAAAATACGATCAATGCATCCTCTTCCAGGTCTGAAACCTGTCTAGTTTTCTGCTTTCGAGCTACAGTTGGGCGTCGGGTAACCTAGGACCTTGGATAAGATAATGGTCAAACCGCTTACTTTACGGTTGTCATAGGATCTCTCCCCCTTCTTATGCACTGGGACGATCAGTGAAGTAGACGAGTTGGATGGGACTTCCTCTGATTCCCATCCATTACCTAGTCTCTCTGTAACTTTAATTAGCAATTTCCCACCTCCGTCCTTGAAAGCCTTAGCTGGCAAACTGTTATGTCCTGTTGCTTTGCATCTTTTAAGGTCAAATACAGGCTTCTCATCTTAAAGGAGAGTTGGAGGACTGACCTCTGTGTCCTATTCAGGTTCAGGCTAGATGTTAGGCAGCCGATGTCATCATTGGTACTGACTATTTTATCAATCTAATTTAGTTTTTAGTGGTTTAACGGCAATGGTTTTTGGAGAGTAGTGAAGATCCATTCGAGGTTTCTCATTAGCTGCTCGCAACTTGAAACAACTGTGATATCAAAATCCTCAGAAATGTCTATATACTCAAAATAATTTCATGGAAAACTATCTAGTTGAGTGGAACTTAATATATTATTGTTGCGTTATATTGAAGTCATGAGGAATGAGGAGTTAGAGTTGCAAGAACTGATAATTAAATTGTCTATATGTACACGAAGATTGAAAGAATAGTCTGAAAACATGATTACAAGTTAGACAATAAATGGAGATAAATATATTCCAGGGACTGAGATATCAACTTTGTTTTACCTAGGAATAAATCTTTAAAGATGTCAAGATAAGTAGAATTCAAACCATAAAGTGAATAGTGTACAATTGAGCAAACGATATAGATGTGTGAATTGATAATGTTACATAACCAGCAGTAAGAATGGTGAAAATATTATTATGGTAGAGACGGGCTAACAACTATTTCTTCCTGAATGGGTGAGTTTATCTAACAACTGCTAACCTCCAGTTACTTTTGTGTTGTTGGCACATGATAAATCGATTGTCATTTGAAATACATTCATTTTCGTTTGTTGTCCAGCTTCTTTTCTTGACTTCTGAATATGCACTGGATCTTTTAATATGAATAGACAATCTGCTTATCAGTTTTTGTAACTGTAATCGCTCATTTCTGATAACCTCAGTTATGTAACAGCAATGTCACCTTTCTCTCATGCCGATGAACAGCTTTGAAATAGAATGGATCAGTGCCATTCTGCTGGCGCAATTGCCCTTGCTCTGGTCAAGTTTACCAAGCGAAGAAATTTTGTTGAAGTGACTTTTTTCGTTATAGTGATTGTAACATTCTTTTGTTTCTACCTGAAGGCAATGAAATGCCTAAACTGAGGAAGAATGTATTATAACTCTGACTTTTACGAGTTGAGTGATTTGCTCGAGTTATTATGCGCGAATTAATCTTGCAGTCGCTAACGTCATACTACCTGACTCAGAGAGAAGATAAATTTGCTTGGCTAACCCACACAATGCCCTGTTATTCGTTCAATTTGGAGGTTTCGGGTATTTTATTATTGGTTTTAGATTTTCATCATGGATTAAACAATGAAAACCTGGGAGCACTGGACAGCTGTTTCGTCCTAGTATGCAACCTGTCAGCAGTGCGCACCCACGATACCGCTAGGTTCCTTTAGGTTCCATGGCCACCATGGTACCGTTGAGCCAGTGGGTTAGAATCAAAAAGTTCCTATATACATCGTGAACTATGTCGTGTACTGACAGGAGTAGGAAGTATGGACAGTTGGATTCTGACCCAGTGGCTCAATGTCGGAACCTTCAGGTCCTGGGTTCGACTCCTGTCGGCATCATAGGTGCGCACTGCCGAAGAGTCCCAAAACAAAACAGCTGTCCAGTGCTCCCAGGTTTCCCCTACTGATATCAGCCCATGATGAATACCAATCTAGAACTATTATTTGTATTTAGCAAAATGTATAGAAGTGTACAAGAGCTTAAAGCATAGATGTCCTCATCATAATGTGACAGAATGAGAACAAAGACAGACATATGAACGTCATTCGAAATTAGTTGGTTATGTCTGACTATGAATAGAACAGAACGTTTGCTTTTTTTAAAACCATATTTCAACTTATATTGCTTTTAAATTAAATGCAAATGTAGGGTTCTCACTTTGAGAATTTATTGTTAGGTGCTTACGGTGCAAATTCTCAGCAACTTTTTCAATTGAGCAGAAACTTTTTTAATTAGTTCTTAGAACTTAATTCGTTTCAAAGTTGTTTTCATCATGGATTGATGTGATTTAAAGAACGATTTTAAAACTTAGATGATAACCTGCTCCACAGAGCTCTTACTTCAGAGACTGACTATGTGACTGATATATCCAGTTCAGGACTAGTGATTCAAAATTACTCATCATCATCTATATTCCGACCTTTATCGCTACGCTCCAATCAGGACTAAGAACTTGACCTATACATTGACCAGTATTCGATTATCAATCTCTAAATTTTGTTTTTTACATCCTTAAGTAAAAATGAATTAATTCTTTTATACGTCGTTCTTGTTTCATTCCTTTTTCAGTGCTGCTGTAAGTCATAATCTCAACTTGATGAATGGTAAAAATCGAAACGGTGGTTATGTTACCATAAGCAGCAACAGCAGCAATAACAACAATAGTATAAATCAGATAGAAGATTTGAACTCATTTTCATCGCATGAATCTGTTCCTATCAATCCAATCAGTATTAAACAGGCTTTAATTGCTAGTGCAAATACACTGGATTCAGTGCATGTGTTTGGTACAAGCTCAATAAAATGGTTGCAAGAAAGAGATCAAAGTAGTATATTTGAACAAGGTGCTGGCCTAGTTAATGTTCAATCAGCGTTGGAGGTAATATCTTCCGTTGTTGTTTATCCATTGCTTTGAGCAATACTTGTTTATATTAGTGATGGATGGTGGCTAGCATTTGAATTCAGTACGCCCTGTTCCGTCCTATTTAGGACTCCTCAACTGGATACACCTACCTTCCAGTAAGCGATATTTTTCCCACTAGGACTCGGACACGGGACCGATTGCTTCAAACACCAGAGCATTATCCACTAGATTATCGAGTCATGATAGCCACTTCTTATGAGACAGGAATAGTTTTGACATTGTTGCTTGTGTTATCCTGTCGTTGAGTAGACCGATCAATTCAGTCCACTCAACAACGGGATAATACAAATAACAACAATTATACTAATTTATTCCTAAATAATGTAGATCAAAATCTTCAATAGGGTTTTTGTTATACCTTCATGACATTCGCTGGGAGCCAAGAATTCTAGACCTGTCAATTACTTCATCTCAGTTGTTTCTAAACTTTCAATGTCTTATATGTTGGATTACAGTTTGGTGACTCAGCTTGTGCTTACTGGAATTTACTGAATTTTTAGCAGAGCTACGTTTTCTGAAAACAAATATATAACCATTGTCACTGTTCAATGAGTGAGTGGTTTATACCAACATTTCTGATATCTTTTCATCATTTATACTGCTGAAAATCAAACAAAGCTTGGAACATTGAATATTCTTCAAGATAATTTATTAAGTTTTCATTAGGAGTGGTTCATCATCGGTAATGTAGGACGAAGTTAAACTTCTTGGCTTTTTATAATTTTGTCAACCATCACCTGTAGTTTCTATCCGTTGTTTATGAAATAAAAGTCTTAGTAACCAAACATATAGTGATTATTCAAACAATTGCTATTTTCTAGAGTTGTATCCCACATCATCCAATGATAACCACTGCATGTGATTTAAACCCATTTACTTAAGCTTTCATAAATACTTTGATAGATTCAAATTTTTAAGCAATATTACTGTTAGCATACTCTCACGTGTCATCTTCTCTATCGCCTCAAGTTCGATTTCCTGTGATGGGATTGATTATTTTCATTGATGAGCTTATTTGAGTCTCTATTTTTTGATATGATCAAAATAATCTGCTCGTTATACCTGTATGTACTGTTACCAGCTAATTTCATCATGTTTATTATTTGTAATTTCTATAGATTGTACAACGTATGAAGCCTCAAGCGAGTCTTATCCCGAGTTACTTAGATTTAACTAAATGTCCATATATGTGGCCATATTGTTCCCAACCATTATACTCTACTATGCGTCCTATTATATTCAATGTAAGTTTCCTCTTCTTGCTTCATTAGCTGGTATGTTTTACGTAGTTTGATGAAATATCACATCTTCTAGAATAGATGAAGATAAAATTCTGAATGAAGATGGGCTTAAAAATTTACATAATTTTAGTGGAAGATACTACTACTGAACTATTTGAGTAGTTAGAACCACTCAGACTGATCTGTAGTATTTCTCCAACTAAATCAGTGATCTAAACAACGAATAGTCGTGTCTCTCTTTCGGGGTCGAGGTTATCAATAGTGTACTTGGACAGATTCATCTCATGGAGCTGAATTAGTTCACATCAAATTAATCTGGTTAGCGGACTTGCTTGGACCTGTATACCTACTACCACATAGTGGTTCCTGACAGTATCCTTCGCTAGTTCACAATACTTTTGTGTTAGAGATTGCAGCCTGTGATCTCAGCAAAGTGACTTCCAGAAGAAACCTTATCGACACCACAGTTGGGCAGCCGAAAGACTATTCAAGTTGACTATTCAGAAGTGTCAACGTGAACCGTGCAATTTGTATGTTATTTGCAAATAGAACATGCTATGCACATTTTAGCTATGTGACCTCTAAAGCATTAGAAAAATCTGCCAGAAGTAAAGAAAATTGTCAGCAGATTCACAATATTACCTTATGTAAACAATCTCAATGATGTAAATTTAACGTAACCTATTTTTTTGCTATTATTTTCAGTCGGATTTAAAATGGTGGCGAGTATAGAAAGGTGAATATTGTTGGTGCATTATAGTTTAGTTTGTGCGAAGTACACTCCTCCTACGGCTTTTTGAACACTCCGTTTCGTGTTTGTTATAATTCGAAAACTGCGATGGATGTTTTATTAATCCTGCGTGTTTAAAAACTTAGCTGATATCAGTTTATTCATCAGGAACAGAATGATGGTTACATTTACGTTTACCGGCGATCTCTCGATTTTCATTACCATTACTAATGTCGTAATACTGTTATGCAGAATGATGCCATCTGATCCTGCAGAAAATTGGTGAAGCAGAAGTAGTTGATATTCCATGGCATCATGTTATAAGCAGATTACTTCTTCTTTTTATTTTACCTAGATCTAGAGATAATATTCCCTGACTTACCTTACCTTACCTCCGTCCTTCAGAAGAACCTGGAATACGTTGCCCAGGTTGGGTGCCATGAGGTTTTTTAGTATTTGAAGTTCCTACTGGACCTTAAATTCATTAAATGAATAAATGTCAATCGATCATAGCTTACATTGAGTTTTGGGTCGACATCACTAGAGCAACTGACCAACTGCATAACTTTCCTCAGTGCTTTGAACACTGTTAATTGGCATATTTCTCAAAATGCCTAGAGGTTAGTAGCGATGAGTTCTTTCAAATCAGAAGCGGTTTACCTGTCACTTTCACGGCGAGTTTTAAGTGCAAGGAATGATCATCTACAATTTGTAGAGGATATATAGATTGGTTTGATATTTGTTTACAAGACCAGGGGCAAGTAATTTTTTACGTATCAACCTGTTGGGCATCATAATCATGTTAATCAAGACACAAGGTGAATTCGGTACACAGTAGAGCATCATTATAGTCCGGAGAAGTGCTCTAGAGGGGTAACAGTCGCGGATGCTTCTTGCAGATGATTGTAATATGATCTGTTTGGGTCATTGCCTTATTAGCTGAAAAACTGTCAAGTAGCTCACTTGCGGTAACTGTGTTCAAAGATGGAGCTCATAATCGATCCACTATATTGTTGTCCGGCTTTTGATGAGCTTCTTATTATATACCTCTATTGTTTGCCTATCTTTTATTTTTATATTCTGTATTTCTTCTAGCGAATATGGATTGATAAAAAAATTGAAGTGGAATTGTGCGCTATAGTTTTCTTTATTTTCTAACATCTTACTAAAAGAGAACTTGCTTGCCGGACGTCTCGAATATCCTTTATTAACTTAGGCAGTTCATGTAAGAGTTGGCCTTCGTCTATGGCATATTTCACATTAAGCTGGGTATCATCATTATTGTCATTATATGTTATTATTCTTTGAAGTCTACAGTTTGTCTCTATATCTTGTCAGGAAATGAAATTTGGTTGAACTGCTCTACATTCCTGAAGTCGAGTTCGAACATATCATAAACAGCTTAGAAACATGTTGACTTCGTGTGTAACCAAAATTTAGAAAACTTTTTATTTTATTTCTTCATCTTCTTTAAAGTTTTTCTTAAGGAACCTGAAAAAGTAAAACGATTTGTGTGACCACAGAACCCATAGGATATATGCTTGAAACTTGACATACACAGCGTTTTACGGATTTTAGTTGACAATGAAATTTACACTTAAAGTGAGGGTGGATTATTGATTTTTAGTCGCCTTTTGCTGTTGTGATTAACCCTTTGTAAATGAGTTGGTATGAATTTGTTAGTTGGAATGGCTTAGTTATGATCAAACCGGGTAATGTTTTGCATCATCTGAAATAGTTGCATCTTGTGAAAAGTCGATTGATAGAATGAAACAGACAAAAAGGATTGGTACAGCAACAGAATTCATAACCTTGTTAGTATAATTCCATCATATTCAAAGTGTAGGACAGTGTTAAGCGTAAATGCACTCAGGTCTATTTTTTATCGATTATTAGCTACATTTCCTACTAATACTTGGTATATCATATACACTTTATCCTTTGTTTTCTGGAAAACCCTTATGTATTTGAACAAATAACGGTGATTTGTTAGTGCTAGGGAAAAACTTAGCCACTGTGGTGGAGTATAATTCCATATTAGATTGTTTGTTTGATATAGCCCATAGTGATACAATATAATTTACTGGATGTCGTTTTGAGCAGAATTTATTGTTTACATTCAGATCAAAGTAATCAAACAACTTTGAAACTTCCTTTATCCAGTCCAACAGCTCGTTTTAATGGTAGTAAGATTTTCCATATATCTGCATTATGCCATGAGTCATTCCTGTTACGTGTTAGGTGTGGATTAAATGGATGAAGATTCTGTGATCAATCTCTCCTTCGATTTTAGAATTATCACCCTATCCCACCCAATAGTGTGATTATGGGTTATTGCATACAAAGCAATAGCCGAGTTTTTTTCTGAATTACTTATCTTGGTAGGGTCTACCACTGTATATCCCTCTAAATTCTAGTGTTCTGCTATTCTGACTGGCCTAGACCGTCTGCTTTGACCTACATACTTGACCTCACAATCATGACATGGTGTTAGGTAGATCAGGTTATTTTCTTTATTGTCTCTATTGAATCTTTTAGCGTATAAAGTTTCTCTCTGAGCGAGATTCTGAATTTAAATACCACCCTAATCGCAGCATTGTTAAGAATTCTATGTAAAACTTCCGATGTGCCTTCTTATACGGCAACACTACAGAGGATTTGAATTCCTTCTTAGGCACGTTTTCATACTATTGGAGTGGTGGGATAAACTGACAATTCTAGAATCCAATAAAGCTAGGTCGTAGGAGAGATTGATCACAGAATCTTTGGTATGAACATGAACAATAAATTCTAGTCGACACGTCTTCCAGTAAATTCTGCTGTGTCACTGTGTGCTACGTCAAATAAACAATCTAATATGGAGCTGTGGTTTCTTCTAAGTAGTCTAATACCCCCAACCATTTCTCTACATTCTACATCACCTGGGAACTGTAGTTTTCGAGAATCAGTTGTTTTTTTGTGGTTATACTTATTTGACGCTTGCAGAAGTCTTTTCTGGTTAACGGCTTATAGGTCCATAGGTAGTGATTTTCTATTTGAAGTTTCTCTTTTGCAAATTGTAGGTTTGTTTGTTTGTTTTGGAGAGCAGTGGAGCTGGTCACAGGACCAAAAGACTCTCTTTCCCGTCTTTATAGGCACTTGTAAGTAAGGATTATGTATTATTTGAAAGGTTGTTCGAGAGTTAGAATGGGGACGAACAAATAAGAGAAAATGAATGAAAAGTATTTATTGGGTATAAATAAGTATTGGTAATAATAATGTAGAGAGGGGAAAATAGGGATGGGTGAGCATGCATTGAATTACTACCTGCGTTTGTTGGTGGTAAGCCATATTCGCTCACGTACTTATTCAGCATTCGTTTGAAAGAGTCAACTAAGATGACTGTGGCTAATTCTTTTGACAAAACATTCCATTACGCACATACTGTGAGAAGGGTAATATCTTACTCTCGTTTCAGTCGTCTTGTGGGGGTATAAAAGTGAGGTTCACGTGAGACTGTCAGTGTTGAACCGATAATGTTGTCCTCCTAGGGTAGTCTACTTACTAGATGGTCGTATAGGCTGTTATTACGTTGCTTATTTTCCTTGGATAGCTTAAAGTGACTAAATCGAGTTGTTTAAAGCGCTATGTATATGTTTTGAAGTAGTCTTAACATAAGGTAGGTGTCTTACTTGAAAACCTAGCCTCCCTCTTATTTGTGCATTCGAATTGTTTGGGTTTACGAAGTGAAGTGGTTTAAATAGCTTGACGACTGCCTAATTTGATATATCATATCTGGTTTACTGAGAATAAATACTATGTCGTTCATTTTTTTAATCAGTATTGTTTCACTACTCTAACTTACTGTATATATTGGGGTTTTTTTCTCTTTATTTCTCTTCTTTGATAAGGTAACAATTTTGAATTCTATGCATGTGATTGGTCGTATATCTCAAATACCTATTTATCATCCATTTATCAACCATAATGGACATCGTCTACATGTTGGTGTATCGTATTCTTCACATTTATGGCCATGGGTAGGATATTTAGCTGTTCATCTGAGTGTGGCACCTGATTCATCCAATGATAGTATACCATCGTCATATTTCTCAGGGATTGCTGAAGGTTACGTCAGTCTTGTCGTCGAGTCATATGATCATGTAAGTATTCATTAAAAGAAAACATGTATTGCACTTTTTTGTATGTGTTTAGTCTTGCGTACTGAGTTCTATTCTTTATGTATAATACTGATTATTATAATGCCGAAAAATATTAGCTTACATATTTTTATGCTTGTAACTGAATCCCAATTGTTTTGCCATAATGAAGATGCTACTGTACTACTTAGATCGATGTAAGATATGTGAGCTCGAACTCGCGTTCTCATGACTTCTAATCAACTACTTACAACCCGACTGATTTTACTAGTCATAAAGTTACTCTTTTGCTGAAGTTAACCTATTTTATTTCGAAGCTTTACCCTGCACTACACCCAGACATTACCTCTTATTTCGTCCAGAATAGACAGAGCTATTAGCAAATAGATTCATTTTAACCTATAAAATTCATTTTTACCACCATCTTGTTTTGAAACTGCGATCCAACGTTGTCAGTTTCAGAAAATGTTAATAGAAATTCCAGTGGAATTCGGAGAATCAAATTTATGAATTTCACCCAAGAATTTCCGTCTAAAAGTTGCACAAACTTTGAGAGAATTCTATCTATAACTCTTGTAAAAGATGAACTATGTGAAAGTATTCCTGGAAACTCCTGAAAAGTATATGTACACACTGTGTCCACCTTACAAATTGAAGCAAACCGAAAAGAAAGCAGTTTCGCCAGAATTAAAATTTCATATTCCTGGGAAAGAGCAACAGTAGGTTAGCTACAAAGACGTAGTTCGAAAATGTATGGTCTGACCCATGTAGGGAGTTGAAGACCACTCATTTGGGTTCCTCGAGACGATGAGAATCCGTGATTGAGTTATCTTATCTCCGTTTCCGTTATCGATAATTCTATCAAACAATCATCAAAAAGCGTTAAGAAACTCAATGAATATTGGAGGTATCATGATTATTTTACCAAACAAGAGCTGCGGTGAAATAACAATGAATAGAGACAGATACGTGTATAAAACAATATCAATCCAGGATGACTCATCAAAACCTCTAATTGACCGTTCGAAGAAAGAAATGACTGAGTCAATGGAAATACTGGTTACAAGGAATTTGAGACGAAAGTAACCTGATAATGTCACCTACAACGACTTCTAACTCCGGTTAATATATTTTTACAACCTGTTGAAGGTGCGCATAGCTAATTTCCTAATGAAACCAATACCTGTCCCTGATCAATTCACCGTCCTATATGCTTACCTACTGGGTGGAATCAAATTTATAACCCATCCAAGCTTTTCGCTTCATAAAGGGCACTTTTCAGTTCACAGAAAAACTGAAAGACCTAAGCATTTTAGAAGGACAGCATTCACCTATAGCCTCCCGGTGTTATAGTAGTAGATAGGATCAGTATTTTGTTATTCCTTCAGTCGGTTAATCATAGAACCGAAGAAAAAACCCCAATCATAGTTACAGCCAGTAACAGTGGCTAGACCATCTGGTAACTTGTCATCTATTGTATTTGTTTTTCTGCTTTCAGATCAGAAATCAGTCATTGATTACAAATCTCCGTCTGCCTATTCGAGCTAATATTATACCAACTCCTGATCGATCGTAAGTTTCTTCTCTGACAATGAATCAAATGTTTACTTGTTTTTCCTGCTTGTAATTGCCGCTCTAGGGCAGCAGAAGAGACCGTACAAACTGTTTCTGCACATATAGCTCTGGTCTAAGAATATGTATGACCAAGGCTTTTGCCATAAAAAAACTAGGAATATGCGTGCGCCTTCAAATAAGTCTGATGTTGTACCTACGTTACACAAGAGCAGGTGAACATGTAGACACACATCGAACTGGAATATCGAGGTAACATTTCTTTAGCATTAAGCTGAATCAGAGGGTGGTTGGAATAGATAACTCTTAGAGATGCGGCATATTTATGTAAATAAAATACACAAATACTCTGGAAGGATATGCTACGTAAAAGTGTTTTTGTTACAATATGTCTTGCACTTTACTTACCCTGAAAATGTACTTCATTGTTTTAAAGTCAGCAATGCACGTAACCATGTACGCGTTATGAACGCACGTCTACAGTCGGTGATTTTTATAGGAATCGACGAAATTTATGTCGTGAAAAGATCAAGTGGTATTATTTTATTTATGTAGCTGATAGCTCCGTCGTTTAGCATAGATTTTACCCTTCCAGCTTGCGTTTTCAATAAAAGACGAAATTGTTCCTATCCTCACAATAACCACAGTTTGACTCATATGCATTTATACACATGAATTACTGACCCTTAACTGTTATATTTTGTGACTTGACAATGCACTCATTGTTATCATTGTTAACTGAGATTTGGTTTTCCCTTTGGTCTCACGGTTAGTTGGCTAATGGGATTACGGAACGCTAGTTCTATCTGCTATTGCTTTATCAGGTTATGATTCACTAATTTGATCCGACGAAACAATAAAATGCACTCAGCAAACTTGTACATATTTGTGCAATAGGCAACTATCTACACCTCTTGTGTGAGGGCGAATGATTCTACCTGAGTGCCCAAACTTTGGTAGGCGAAGTGGTATTCGAATGTGTGACCCTTCGGTTGAAAGTTATTTCCCTAAGCCAATGGGCCTAGAGTTCACAATTCATTCATGCTACCCTGATGTCACACCAGAAGACAAGGGTACTTCAATAGTCTAAAATTAATAATAATTCATTTGACAAAATATATGAAAAGCGTACAAGACCTAGTCAGAATGTCAGCAGTTGCGAACAAAAGATAGTGAAGTGAAGTTCACTTACTATTGATTGGTTAGTTGCTGTTCTTGTTCCTTTCGTGTATGGATGCAAAACCAATAATAATAATTTTAAAAAAAGTAAACAAAGTGATTTTTTACCTGAATAAACAGTCGTTTGAAAACTGTAAATGCTGCAGTGGTTTTACCATCATCTTGTGAAGACTGTATTGTAATAAGATAAAAAAAATATTTTCTGGATGATGATGTATGCAATAGTTTAGTTGATTATACCTATCTGTTTAATGTTTCCCTTGTGGTATCATCCTTTTCGTAGTGAGAATAGACCAAACTTTGTCAGGAAGATCCATACGATATCTAATTCTATGTACTACAAGTCAACTCAGAAATTTATTGAAAACCATTTACTGATAAGAAAAACTTGATCATGAGATTTATTCTAAAATTGCACTATCATTCATTCACCTACTGAGTGGAATTTTCCAGCCGTTGTTCTGAGTCGGTAATACACGTAGATCACCTTTCAAAATCATCAACAGTTTTGTTAATTGTTTCCTTAAATGATAAAAAGATTTCTGCTCTCTTTCTCGGTTCCTTTGAATGTTCACCTTAATGATTTGGTTGGCTAGAAAACGAATTCTCTTTGATCAATTTCATAGTATACATTATCCATTTGGCTTTATACCACGAGATGACTTGACGCGATCGAAGGAACCGCTAGACTGGTAAGTGTCAGTTATTTCCATCTTTGTTTTTTTGTTATTCCTGTTTATGCGATTGTACTCAGTTTACAAGTTTATTACGATTTTAAAAGTCTCGCTTTTTTCCAGGTCAGTCAAACGTCACAGACCAATGGACGCGTATGCAAGAAAGCGAAGTACATAACAGGTCATGCACTCCTACTAACAGAGACGGACCCGGTTATCTACTCGTACCTCCTTAGGAGAGATGTCAGTGAGTACTTGACCTGAGTTATCGCGTTAAGGTTGGCTATATCTTGCGCTTATTAATTAACTACTACCAGTCCCCTCCCACCGTGGTCAAATTGCTACACCCACACATTTCAATACTTGCTACCTGCATGGTTAGCACACAAAGCCGGGTTCAGGAGTCAATTGGCGACTGCTTACGGATGGCCATTGCCAAGCTAGGAGTGATGACAAAAGTTTTATTGCCCTAAGCGTTCGATAGAGACCACTGCCAACTGCACTATTGTGGACCTCATAATTGACCTGCAACGGATACCAGAGGAATAGGCTAGCACCCCGACCGACTCGGTCCTGATTGCACGTCACTCAGGGGGGGACAGCAGTTATATGGCCTACAGCCTTCATCATACCTCGGATATATCGTGATACACACACCGTCGAATCACCTATGACATATCAAACAGCGTATCGCGGTAAAAAATGCTCTGCGCTTATAGTTTAGGTACCTCAGATGGTCTGTATACTTTCGGTTAGCTCCGCTATTACTCACGCTAAGTGGGTTTCCTCACTTTGAAACCCTAACACTAAACAAAAAGACGGTGCGTTGGTTTGCAGGTTGATACCTGCTTAACAGTGAGAACCATGAGAAGGTCAACTCATGCAATTAGACTCCCCTTCTTGTAAAGACCTGAGTTGTGGAATATTGCTTAAATATGCTCTGTCAACCAGGCGTTTGGACGGTGACTCGAAATGCCGTAGCAATCAGAATCACCGATAAACCGGCTTTCCAACTAAAGGTGATTAACTTTGAGCCACTGACTAGGCATCTGGCCAGTGGCTTGAAGTACTGGAGTGACTAATTAGATGACGAGACATTTGGTCATCCTTCGAGAGTCATAGTTACAAGAGTGGTCTAAGCACATGTTTTCCAGTAACGAATTATGTACTGAACAATAAATTTCCGGTGCGATTTACAGGGATTACTACTAATTTGTTGTTTCCGTGTAAATTACCTCATCTTAAAACATTATTCTATTAAATTATTTTCTTAATGCGGTGAAGTTTGTTTCGGGTGTGAATTTATATATAAAATAGGTGCATGTTTGTTTTATTTATGTCAGAATGATATTGAATACAAATTCTCACTCCCTTGTGTACTTACTTTTGAAGTCTTTCATGTCTGTACGAAACGTATTGTGTAGGGAAAGGCAGTGCTCAGAATGTTATTGTTTTATCTAGTTGTAGGCAATCCACTCAGCAAGCTTTTGCACATTGGTGCAGTAGGCAACAGGCCGTATCTATTGTATGTGGTACTGGCTTAATACCCAAACCTCGGTAGGTAAAGCGGCGCTCAAACCCGTTTCGCATTGTTTGAAAGTCAACTACATAAACCAATGAATCGTAACTCCACTCATTGTATGATTGTTGGTCTAAGCCTTGTAAAGAAATGTAGTCATCCGTTTGGAGTCGACTCGATGACCGAAGTTGGTAACTGAAGATTCTAGGTGAGGTTATTTGAAATCGATCTCATTGACTCAGATGGATACACACATCTTAGTCATTATATTATATTTCTTTATTTGTTTTAACCCTTTTCTTCCTTCCTTACAACTTCCTAACACTTACGATTTATTTTCCTGTTTCTGTATCCTTCTTTATCGTACTTTCTGCACTGCTGTTATGATATGAGCTTTCACAAATTCGACTATTTCAGAGTAATCTCAGCTCATATGTCGACATTAACTGACTGAGTCTTCAACCAACAACTTCATTTTTCATTCGAATATATGACAACCAGAGAGTTTGCAGCTTCCCATGCAGCTCAATTCAACTCCACATATGCTTGCCAACAGGCGAATCAGTTCAGTTTACTGCGTTTCTCAAGAGAAAGAAATTTTTAAACATATCAAAGTAAACAAGGAGGATGTGGAGTTTGAAGAAATTGAATTTTTACAAATCACTCAACACAAATTCGAAATCATCATAACTGAAGGATTAAAAGAGATCATTTGCACATAAATAGTGTGATTATCTATTTCAGAAAATCCGAAATCGACTGACACTATGAACTTGTCGGTCATTATCAACATGCCCTGTCTGTATCTTCTGTTGAGTTTGATAAGACGGTATCTTTTTGGATGTTTAAAGTTTCTGCTGACTAGAAATAAATGTTTGTCTGAACATAGTTGTAACAGGCGTTATCTGACCGTTCGACTGGGATTCCGAAAGTGTTACCTAAGTGCCTTTATGCTTGATTTAGCCTACACATTTAGATATTAAAATCATATTCTACAACAGCCATATGTCAAAGCTTGACTTTGAGTAGTATGCTAGACAGTTATTAAGGGAAAACTGGATTAGTCTTGTCTGGCGAAGGAGTGCTAAGGACGTTTGATTAAGGCTGCAAATAGATGGTCTTTTTGGGAGTTCTAGATTTTTTGGTTGTGTTGAATCTTCCGCATATTTGTTGGGTGATAACCTATTGGTTGGTTCGTTACCGGAGTTAGTTCCTTGTTGCTCATTCTTATTGTTCTGGCCATCTGATCTTCAGTATCGAGTGAGCATAGACGGCAGCTGTTGAGGAATATCTGTACTTTGTCGGAAATGCTTTTCGTAACGCGCCAAATTTCTGAACCATACCCGGATCTTGCTCTTTATGCTGAGTGAGGTGAAGTGCAATAGATCTCCACACTGATTTCGGGTTAATGAAGGCCTGTCTTGCTGTCTTTTCTATCCTGGCTTTGACGTCTTCTGTGCCTGTGCCACCTGTAGTTGAAACAGTGCTGCCTAGATAGGTGAAAGGTACTACTTTCTTTGGATTCCTCCCGTTGATGGTGATTGGTGCTTGTTGTTGTTGTTGGGTGGCTATCTCCATCACCTCTGTCTTCTCTGCGTTCACTTGAAGTCCCGTCTTCGCTGCCTCTTCTGTCAACTAGTTAGTTTTCGCCTGTAGATCTTCGAGTTTGTGTGACATTAGACATAAGTCATCGGCGAAATCTAAATCTTCTAGGTTCTTTTCTGCGGTCCAGCGTATGCCTATCTTCTCGCTCCTCACGGTTTGCTGCACGATCAGCTCAGCCCAGTCAACCACAATCAGGAATATCATAGGTGATAGTAAGCAGCCTTGTCTTACTCCTGTCTTCACTTCAAAGGTGTCACTGAGCTTTCCATTGTTGATCAGTCGGCATGTGGCGTCTTCATATAGTTGTTGAATGAGGTTGATAAAGGATTGTCGCACTAAACCCGTAGTGTTGAAGCAACTACCTGTCAGATTATTTCTCGGTCAACGCTGTCGAAGGCCTTTTCATATCAAAGAAGAAGTTGAGGTAGAGTCGAGTTGACTGCCATTCCATGCTCTGTTCTATGATGATGCGTAGAGTAGCGCCGCAATTTGATCCGCACATGATTTGTTCTCCCTGAATCCAGCAGGTCTGTTCTAGTCGTAATTTTGAGTGCACAGTATTTTTCAGTCTCTTTCGGATGATGCAGCTTAATATTTTGCTTGCTTGGTGTGGACAGGAGCATGATCCTGCGCCAGTTCTTGCAAAGAGTTAGGTCTTCCTACTTTGGAAGTTTGACAAGGTAACCCTCCTTCCAATCGAAAGGTACTTTCCCCTCCTTCCAAACCTTCTTCAGTAGTGCTTTGAGCATGTCGGCTGTTGTCTCTGCGTCCGTCCTGGAGGACTTCCATCTGGTCCTGCGGCTTTCCTGGATTTCAGCAACTTTATGGCGTTCAGGACTTCACTTATGCTTTTGTCAGACGGCTTGTGTTCACTGGTTGTTCTGTGGCTGGGCTGCTGGTGGTATTTCTGGACGAGTTGCAGGTGGTGTTGGTCGGTTCTAGATTTTTTTTGAAGTGATCAGCCCATTATTTTCTTTGTTTCTCCTCCTCTTTGGTAACCAGCTTTCCTTCACCATCTTTCATTGGTTTCGTCTGCGTTGATCTCTTTCTTCCCAGATAGTAATCTGTTTATTTGATATAGTGTTGTCAGGACTCTCCTACCTGTAGCCTGTTCTGCTTCACTTGTAAGTGTGTGGTAGAAGTGTCTTTTACCTTTCTTTGCATTCTTCTTAACTTTTTTATCCATCGTAGTGTTTTATAGGTTGTGTTTAGTTCCTCTTTTCGTTGTTCACCTCTGTACTGCGTTGCAATGGTTCATCTTCTGTCTCACCATCTTCCTCTCCCTGCTCTATCAGCTTCCATGTATCCGTGGAGATCCATTCCTTATTTTTTTCTTCCTTCCCAACACTGTTGTGCAGGTTTCCTTCAACGCCGCTTTCACAGTTCCAGTGTCCTTCCATACAGGTTCCTTCAGGGATGTTGCGCAATGTCTCCCATTTTGTCGTGATGGCTTATGTGTGTATATCCCTTGTAGTTTAGTCCTTCAGTTTCTGTTCTGGGTGTTGAACTCGAACTGCGGCATATCACCAACTTCTATAAAGCTTTCAACTTGATTTTAAAGGTTCCTTCCACTAGATAGTGACTGGTGTCAACCACCTGCCATCTGCTCCTCTTCTTGATCTGACCTTGTGTCCAGTAGGCTGCGTCTCCACTTCCTTCACATTGAAATGAAGTCGATCTGATTTTTAGTGTATCTATCTGGTGAAGTGTATGTCGCTTTTTGAATATCCCTGTGTTTGTACACACTGTCTCCAATCACCAAATCACTGAATGCACAGAAATCTGCAAACAATTCTCCATTCTCATTCATTTCACCAAGTGCTTCTCGACCCATGGTTGGTTCTCTTTCTGTGCTGTCTGCTCCCAGTTTGGCATTCATGTCACCCATCAGAATGAATTTTGGTGTCACCATCTGGGATGGGATCTTGACCAGTGTTGATTGCAGTTGTCTATAGAATTCCTCCTTCTCCTCTGCATTATTTGTAGGTGTTCAGCGTAGCATTATATGATTGTGACTTTCCTTCCTTTTGAATTGAATCTTGCTGTCATGATCCTGATCCTGCAGAAGGAGATTGGTTCTCACTGTATGAGAGCCTTCGGTGTTCTTGGAGACATCATGATAGCCACTTGGAAACTCATTGTGCTCGTGATTGTCGTGTCATCTGGGTGACAATATTGGAGTAGATTATTGACTCTCCAGTTGACAGTTTGGAGAGTCCACTTCATTCCATCTGGTTTTGCGGATTCGCAGCACTTCTCTGTCATATCTTCTTACCTCTTTTGCAATCTGGGCAGCCTTGCTAGGTTCGAACATTATTGTGCGGACATTCCATGTCGCCATGATTACTTTCGCTTACATCAGCCGATTGACTTCCCGAATGCTTTCACCAACTGGCGTCATTTCGTCTCCCCGATTACAGCGAGAAATAAGTTGATTTTCATGTTTTATAATTTCTTTGTGCTTTGAAGTTTCTTTAGCGGTTAGATTTGTTTTCTGGGGTTGGATTGCTAGCCCTTCGCCCAACCTTCCCTCTTTACCCGAGCTTAAGACCGGCTAGTAACTAGTGAACTAGTTACCCAGGCGATGGAACGTGATACTGCTGTCATATTTCGTTCAGCCATGAGTATGACTTCTCCCTAAAACCCCTGTCAGTGCATAACTTCTTTTTGTCTTAAGGCTTAACAACTGAAGAATCGTTCTGGTCAAGATAGCTAGCTGAGTTATTTTGACATACAAATCTGACCACCATTTCATGATAGACGTCGTCATTTGGAAGGTTAGAGACCTCTGTTGATCTTACTCAAAATTGGTGCCTGTCATCAGATGCATCCCTTAGGTTATTTTCCTAAATCTTGAATGTTTCTTTAAATATACTTGTTGCTACTAGTGACTTCTTGTTTTAATTACCAGCGGTTTTTTACGTCAACTACATTTTAAGTCTGAATATTTTACTGTTTTATATAATGGTGAGATATTTGTAGTTGAAGTGACGTACCTTGCAGACTATAACTGAATTGTTCAGAATCTTTTATCAAAGCTACAGACGATGTAATTGAGGGTGCTGTTCATTCTTCCTTGTTTTCTATAGGTTAGGTGATCATATTCATACGAATTTTCTTGATTTATATACGCATCTACGTAAAAGAAACTATTTCATTGAAGTATTAACTTCTTCTTTTGACTGTTTCAATGCCTTCAATTATGGTGAGTGTTTGTTTTCTTGGATCCTTTCAGTCTTTCAATTGTAATTGCTATAGTTATTACTATGTTTGACTGTAGATAAACAGGGTGGTATCGTACCTACGCTTATCAAAGTTCTACATTCCATCTGTTTTTAAAGTCATTAAAGTACATGTTCTTCCACTCTGCACTGCATAGCTCGATTACTCTGTGCTATGTATATGTGACCACACACAAATGTAGACTTGTAAACACAATGGGATGTGACGTAATCGTTTATGCAGTGTTTAGATTAGTGGTGAAACATGTGTTTTTCATCTTTTACACAATGATAAGATTTACTTCATAATAGCTTTTCCTAATGTCTGATGTTAGCCTACATCTGAAAATTGTGCTATTCATCTGTCTTCTGTATAGTAGAGTGAAGTGGACACTTCTCTTAGGAGCCATGTATACAGTTGGCTATGGTACTACCTGACTTCTACAATGGTTTATAAACTTCAACTTCCGTTTTCTATAAGTGTTTTGGTTAGTAATTTGATATCTCTATCCATGGTATCCGATGCAAATTCCATTAAATAGGGATTTTACTGGACCAACTTCTCACCGTTTGAAGAGTACGTCTAAGAATGGCAGATGATCATTATCCACTTTCTCGAAAGTCAGGATAATATGAGTTTGTATAGTCTTAAGTCTTTTTAGTCGACAAATCATATCCTGCTACTTCTCACAAATCACAATGATGTCATCGACATCTCTTATGACTACCTAGTTTTCTCTTATTACTGCTACGATGAAATGATAGAAAAGAATCACAGCTCAAGATGAAGATGATGGTGGTTTGGTGTTCTCTGATCTTCGATATTTTGTCATGGACGTTTCAACAAAAGGCTTGGTGATATCTTCAGTAATAACTTCATATGGGAGTTATATGAAATTACCACTTAGGATGTTACTATGGACTGGTGGCAAGGCATTCATGACAAAATATCATGGCCTAGATAATATCAAATCACTATCCTATTATAAAAGTTTATCAAGTTTACTCAATTATTATTATTCTAATGTTAACAATTTAATCCTACTGATCTAAGATCTTCCGTTTCTAGTGCAGTAATAATAACCATTATCTTGAATGATTATTGAGATTTCTAGTTGTACTAATAAGTGGTTATTAGGATGAATGGTTTTTAAGCTGATATTCTTACTCATATAAGCTGTTAAACTATGTGAACGTAAATTATTTGGGTAACTAGTTCAAACTTCCACAAAACGATCCTTTATCGTATATCTCATTTATTTTGCTGATATGCTGATCTGGTTGAAAGTAAATTGCCTTGACCAGAGCTGTATACACTTCCTATAAGTGCTATAGCGAAGTTAAGTCACAGTGTTTCTTCAGGATAACCAGCTTCTCTAGTGATACCACTTATCTATTACCATAGAAATTGGAATTTTAAAAGATTGATCTGAAAAATACAATATATTTTCTACTCAACAGAATTTTAGAAGCATCAAATTAACTTTAGGATATTGAAGTTGAAATAGTTCCAAATAGCTTTTATGTAACCGTCTGCAATTATATGCTCTTTGAGTTCGGGGATTACACTACAAATTGATAAGGTTATGTGTTTCTTAAATGATAATGTTTGGTCCACCTCATTTTTCACTCATTTTTCTCATCAGTATCATTATCTTTTAAATCTTTATATCATTCCCTGCAATGAATTCTTTAACACCATTTCAAACATTTTTCTATGTAGCTCGTACTATCTACTCCATTTCGTTGAATATTCTTCTTTGTTTTTTGAAATAATCTTTCAATGCACATTTAGCTTTCAGTAATCTGATATGTTAGGTCGTAGAATATGCTTCATTAGCTAAAACCCCAGGAAGTGATTCTATAGAGATGTTTTTTAATTTGAGTAATATAAGCAAAATATAAGGGCGACTGTTCACATTCCTTATTTGATGAATTTGACTTCTACATTGGGTAGTAAAGGTGTCTTCTTCTGAGATGATGTTGAAAAGTGGAAAGTTTATTCCTCAAGTGGATTGATGTTAACTGTTGGATTAAGTAAATTATCAGATTACATAGAAAAGTCGTTCTGAACAGCATCTAACTGTATCCAGCTGTTGGTTTGAAGGCAAAATTGGATAAGGTTTATTAAGTAATGTGTTAATTTGTCTTAAATGATTATATGGCAGTTAAGTAGTATTACTAGTTTCCATAATGGTACTTTGCGATAATATATAATAATATATTTCTTTTATTCTGAACCGTAATTATGTTTACAGTATGGAATTCTCAGCTTGTCAATCTAAGTGGTCCTGTGGAATGCCACTTTTTTTTTTAATATTCTCTTTTATTCTGTTTATTCGGATTCTAACTTTCTGTAGTAACAGCTTCTAATTTCAACTTCTCACTGTTTGGTCCTCTATTAACAGATGATCAAAACATGTAGCTTCCAATAAGTGTTACTATTTCTCTTTTATTGCTCCATTGTTCTTTTCTTGATAATGCTTACTTGTGATATTTTTCATATGTGACATTTGTACTACATCCTAGTTGTATATATTTACACATGGGGTGTTACAAATTTTTTCATAGGTACATTAATCTTAATTGATCCAGAAGAGGAATTCCATCCACAAGAGGTGAAAAAACTCTTCATCGATGTAATGGAGTATGGTCTATCGTTAATTGTTTTTGCCGATTGGTATAATACCAGTGTAATGCATAGTCTACGATTTTTTGATACAAATACTAGGTGAGAATGTAATCATTTTGCCTTATAACTTCCAATGAAGTTACTTGCTTATGTTATGGATAATTATATATCGAATTAATTTGTTTATGGAAGAATTAACTACTGGTCCTACAGACTAGCTCAGCGGTAACGTCAGTGACTGCAATACTGAATGATGTGGAATCGAACATTATACGGGGCATCACTTACCTCGAAATTGCAGACACACTTTACTGACGAGTGCCAGTAAGCACAAAACGTAGGTTCAAGGTTTCTTGCCGATTGCCTTCAACCGGCTAACAATCAACTACTCGAATATTGTTTCTAGTTGAAGCGAAAGATAACAAAATTAAAGCTGGTTGTTATTCTCAGAAATTAGAAAATATGATATCAATGTAATTCATTTTATTCAAATGATCAGTTTATCAAGAATTAATTGATTTCGATATGCGCGTTACTGACACGTCTCAGCCTAGGACGAAACAGTCGTTCAGTGCTCTGTGAGCTTGCAATGCTTCTCAATCTGTGTCTCTATAATCAATGGTGATGTAATTCAGTAGTTGATAATAGACATGATAAACGTTTGTACTTAACATTTGTTGAACGGTACATAGAAACTAAATCAAATCAACCGTTTATGTTGTCTACAGGGTATCTTACGTTCATTTTCATTGATTTGGTTTTTTTGAAAATCAACTGTCTACTTTACACTCTCCAGTGTACTGGTTCTCTTGAAAACTTGGGCTCGAAATCACATCTGAGTAAAAATAGCATCAGTATTAATTAGATTATTATCTGGTCAACATCTGATAGTCTTCGATTTTATCTTCTATCGATTTTATGAACTAATTTTCTTCTAGATTAAGGATATAGTACTGATTTTAATTTTGAAGTAGTATAACCGAATGCGATATTGTAGATTGATCAAATACTTGAATTTGCCTGCTTTTTCTATGTTAGTACGTGGTGGGGAAACTAATAATTTCAGCAATGTTTTCTTTGTCAGTCCACATTACTTATCAAGTTGGTTACATAGTAGATTGCTTTGAACAGTCTTTTACTTTCTATTTCGGTGATTATTTCAATGGGTACTTTCAACCGTATGTGTACAAGATTGGACTGATGGTTTCGAGTCCCACTTTAACTAATGTTAAATGGTAATAGCATTCTTCCAGTGTAGTTAACGACTGTACACTACATGGGATTATTTAGGTGGTTGAATACAATCGATAGGAAACCTTAAACCTAGGTTTCGTGTTTATTGGCACTCGTCAGCAAGCTGTGTCTGCAACCTCGACGGAACTGATATCCTCCCTTCCCCCGGCAATTCGAATCGGCGTCATCCAGTATTGTAGGCAGCGACGTTACCACTGAGCTATTCGGGCCACGACTGACTTTTAGGACAGGGTTATATACATCGATTACAAAAATGCTCTGTAGAATTCAGTCAGCACTCAGGACTAGACAACATGTAATTGGTAGCTCTTTCGCAACTTAGCAACCTAGATTTTTGATTGCAAACTTTTAGGTTGTTGGTTCACACTAACTTCAGTCACTCTATTTTCAACAAGCAAATACCATTATTTCTTCTTTTATTATAAATGTAGAAAATAAATTGCTACACAACTATGTCCATATTCATTTAGGAAACTTTTGTTTAAATTGTTGAACTGATACTGTTTCCAACATAGATGCAAAGTGTTCATCACTGGGTTGAATGTTGCTCATAAAAACGCGCACACATGTAGTGTGTTGTGCGTTATTATTGGGAAGTTATTAAAGCATACTCAATCGACAGAGGTTCTGGAGGAAGAAATGGGAAATACCATGATATACTTAATTGCGTTGACTTCGTTAAATTGGACTATCTTATGCGTCTAGATTTCATTGTCTCCATAGATAACATTCACCTCAGGATTTCTCAAAGAGTGGTTCAGTAGCCTGCCGTGACTAAATGGTGATTGGTTGGGAGTTTCCTGCACAGATATTTCTTTTGGCTGTTTGTTATGTTAGCTGGTAGATTTGGTTTATGTTTCTACAACTGTTGATTACTGATTGAATGGCAAACTTCTTTTAATTCATGGATATTCTTACCAAAATCTCTACATTTTCAAAGTTTATAATTGTCAATACGAACAAAAATACCAGCGAATTCCAGGAAGCATGCCATTCTTGTCAATCGACAATCAGTAGTTGTATAGATCTAAACCTAATCTATCCACTAAGAAGACAAATGACAAACAAGTGCGAAGTCAAAAGTCAGGCAGAGAAAGAGGCAACAACCAAACACCATTTTGTCACAACAAGCTACTGAAACGCTAACAGAGAAATCCTGAAAACTCGCCTCCCCTTGAGGTATTTGCTAATGGTTTTGTTTAGAAAGACAATGAAATCTTTGCGAATGAATCATCTAGCACAACTAAAATCATTCGCCTAATTTACAAATATTCTTCATCATTTCAATATTGAAAGGAAATATAGAAGACAAGAGAAGAAGCAACTAAGGCTTGAGGAAGATCTATCTCGAATATAAAATGCAGATATTATTTACATAAAGTACTTTGAATCCAAAGTTTTCATATTTCGTCAGTACTTCCATTGATCCTCTTTAGCCCTTTTTTCAATACAACATATTTTAGTCAGATAAGACATGTGTGGATGGTATTTTGTCACCAAAGACATCATGGTTTCACTCTGTCCATAACTTGCAATCATCATTTTTAAATGTCTCATCCTAATTAGCATCTCATTCGTTCAATTCCTTTAGGTGATCATTATTATGCAGATACTGTCAAACTCAGCGGTTGTCGCCTTGTGAATGATTCTGTTCGTGCCAATAGCTTTACAGTAATTGTGGAAGTTTTATATGTATCGTGATTATTTCAATGTCACATAATCTTGTCAAACAGCATTTGAAAACTAATTTAACCACACTAAACACGTGCTTCTTACGCGCGAAGTGGCTAGTACTAATCACTTTTATGAATGGACTGTCGGTCTTAACTTAAAGTCACTTTTCTTTCATTCTGTTCGGTCGTTCAATAGTTTCTGTTTCTCAGCTGCTTTCGACTACATCAGATATCTTGTTATGTTAGGCTATTCTTGGTAATCTCAGATTTTACTGTAACATTTTGGCGAATTGATTTGTGCTCTAATAAGTAAAGCGTTTTAGGATGATAATTCAACCAACTTTGTGGATATCAGTTCATGTTTTCCTGTGTTGAATGCATCATTTTAATATTATGCTATTTTCAAATTGTAGACGAGTATGGAGCCCAGATACTGGTGGATCTAACTTACCTGGTCTTAATGATTTGCTTGAACCATTTGGCATCGAATTGGGGTGAGTATTTGGTAGTTGCTTTTTGTTAACAATGACTATTCACTATTCACTGTATTCAGGGCGGTATATTTGAAACACAGTTTACTGGTGCATTATATCTTTGCCAGTTTCATCAAACATTTACTTGTTAAAGCACTTATGTAAAACTTAGTAAACTTCAAAAAAGTTTGTAGTTAGTGGAAGAATGACACGAATAATACTGTTATGCTATGCTAGAAAGTCTTCTATTGTAAATTTGAGTTTTTTAAAGGGAAAGACAAAACTTGTAAGTCTTAAAGTGACGTTTCGGTTTATGAATTTTACTAGATGACGTTTAGCATGTAGCTTATTGATCATATCATGGTAACTATACACCGCATATTGCTCAGAGAAACTAATCCGGACTCTTTTAAGCATGTAGGTGAAACTATAGCCATGAAAATGACTGGTTTGTTTAGAAGATTGGTAAACAGGCTGTTCTATCACCCTGAAATGCGACAATCACCCAGTCACCTTGAAAAATTAACTTACGTAACTTGTGCAACAATAATCAGAGCTTTTGTTTGCTTCCAGATATGTTCAAACTTTGCTGGTCTAATAAAACTCATGTAGAATCTGTTGTAGAGGAACTGCCTAGGGTTCGTTCAGATCATGAATGCATTGATCGTGTATTTACTCCTCAACAAATGCTTGATCACCATCTTGAACATTGTATGGCAAACTCATTGGATAGAACCATTCTCCAGAATTATCTGTTAATAATAGTGATTTTAGAAGGTTGATCAAAATTTGGGTAATGGAGTAGATCTGTTACTAGAAAAAAGACTTCTGAACACTAATAACGCGTATGATATCACTGTATTGGGCAGTAATACAATAACGACTCGTTAACACCAATATGACTGATAAGTTGTCAAACCTTATTTTGAAAACCATATTGACGTATTCCTATCTGTGTCATATTTAGTTATATTCTGGTCATTGAATCTCTAATGTACAACGTTTTTGAATTGATAGTTCCGGTTTTATACCTTTAATGTCTCATCTCTTGAAGATGCAGATTCTAAATGACTGCATATTTGATTGTCATCCTCTCAGAAAGATCTTTTTTTTCTGTGAAATTATCCTTTAATTCTTTTTGGTTTGTGTTGGCACATCATGAAATGTGATGGTGATTCTCACTCATTATATGCTTTCATCTCGAAAGACTAACTTTGGCAGCTTGGATGTATATTTTGGAAACCGTCTTAGATGCTCACAGTAACGTTTAATGTTTGCCAACTTTGTAACCGATTGGCAGATATGAAGCTGTGGTTATCACATGATCGGGTACCATGAGATGCAGGAAAGCTGCGTTCATCTACCATCTGTTGGTGCCTTAATGGTCTCTTAGGGTGTCAGATATAGCTCAGAATCACAACCGGTAACTGTCATGTTTTAGTTTTCTAGTCCCATCTGTTTGTGGAAAACAGAACGAGTAAAATTAGAGCTTTTTTGAAAGTATCTGATGGAACTGACTGTGTAATCACCAGTTTTTCTTCACTTATCCTTCATCGTGTTATTAAAATACAGTGTGTTTCGCATTTCTTGATGTTCATATTCTACTGGATTTCTGTATAGAATAAAACAGCAAATAAAATATTTATTGCTTATTAGTATTGTTGCTCTAAGCCAAACATGTGGGCTTTTGTGATGTCTGAATTGCTTCTCTTATTATACTACACTTATAGTTTCTCGTAACTTCAAAGAATGATACAACTCAGATCATACTAAAATTCACTTGGAAAAAATGGCGTACAAATAATTATGTATTAATTATACTTTCAAATTAACAAGTATCGTGGTAGTAACGAGACGAAATTGTCTAAGGAACCATGTGGATGCGCGTACACTAGACAAAGAGCCGTACCTGTTGTATAATGTGTGGTGATAGTGTCTGATTCATCGGACCTCATTAGGTGGGACGAGGTTCGAACCCGTAACCCACTAGTTGAATATCTGTTGTCTAGAGCAATGGTCTACACTTCAGTGTTATGAAAGTGTTATTGGTAGTGTGTCAGTGTGATAGGATAGAATGTTATTTCTTTTCTCAAACCTAAACTGTTTAACGCACAATCACAGAAGGGATGCTTTAAACTTAGTCATGAATTCGAAAGTCTCAAAATTATTCATACGGCTTGTATTAAGCTGTAACCGATTAGGAAACCATAAGTATTATCTTGTAAGTTGGCAACTATGGAGCCACCTGATATCAAAAATATGTAAGATTTTAAAGTATTGAGTTTTTAAAAAGCAACATAATTTTGTTTGCTCATAGTATATTCCTAATTATCTCAAGTATTCTTTTAATATTTATCTACTATAGTGATTCCGTTTTTGCTGGAAACTATGTGGTTGGACGTCGGACTGGTATGTTTCTCATCCATAACACTGAAAATGTATATTCTACTCAGTCTGTACAACTCATTTTATTTACATATTTTGATATTTATTTATATATCAAGAAATAAATGAGAATCGGTTGATAGCAGTAGAAAACAGTAAAAAGAGGAAGAGGGAATGTGAAACTACTGAATTCAGTGTAGCGGTTAAAGTGAAGATAAAGCGTGGATACAAATACTCTGGTGAAATCGATTCTGAGCCATATCATCTAGGGTCTTCAATCACTGTTTTCTATTGTCATGTGGTCCCCAACTAGACTAGTCTGCATCTCAAACCAGCAGTTAAGGACTTCAGACCTTTATCCGGCCTGAACCTAGTTCCAGCTAACATTGCACGACAAGGCAGGTGGTGATTGGGCATCCGTAAGACACGTCTCGACTGCCTCATTCGATACAGGTTCACAATTTTGTAATACAGCTAATGAATAAACATTTTTTTGAATTTTCTACAGATTATAGCAGTTAAATGTTTTGTTTCGCAATGTGATTGAGAATACATGCAGTTACTTACATTTAATTGACTTGTTAATCTTCAACGCAGTACATAACTTGGCCGATTGAATATTCTCAGTATTTTTTTAGAAATTAAGTACATGAATAGTTGCTATTCTGTGATTGATTAGCGTACTAGATATACACTTTTCAAGAGGTTATATTTCCTTTCAACCACTTTGATAATTAGTCTGTATGGTTTTGTACTTCACAGGGAAAACAAGTCTCTACAAGATTACTTTCATGTCTTGATAATAAACATTAAGAAGGAAGAAAACCAAGGCGTATCGTTTTTATGCTGATTTTGTGCCATGTTTCCTTCCATAGACAGTGAAAATCACAAGAGTTGAAGAAGAACTAAGAGTAGGCTACTATCAGTGGTTAACGGTTAATGCTTACCCAAAAATATTAAGGAGTTTCAAAGTGAATATCAAATATTTGCATAAAAGACAATGTGATGCGTTTAGATGCATTTTGATTGATAACTGGTTGGATGAAAAGATGCCAGGATATTCATGTTTGATATCTGAACAGATTAATTCTCATATTCAGGATACTTTTCCAATTTTATTCAGTCATAAAAAGTATTATTTCATCTGTCTTAGCGAATATAAATAAATAGTCCATATCAAGTTTTTCTTTCCCTCTAAAGTTGTTTCTGATAGCTATAAAACGGTATATCCTCTAATTACGTATTTATCCCGTTGTTTCTTGGTGAAACATAAGATGACTGTGCACTCAGACAGACAGTTCTGCATATTTACTTCACATGATGATATTACCTCACTTGTTTTCATTTCAGTGTGACTTTGTGTAAGTTGCTTACTGTCTTATGAACCATCGTCAACGTTCTATCTGTGATTTATTTAACTGTATCCATCGGATAGCTGCTACCTTGACATGGTGGTCGGGTTTATATATGACAATCACCCACCGAGCAACCCTGGCTGGAACGCTTGTTCTCTAGAGGTCCCACTATGCCAGAAAGGTCTGTCAGATAATGGTAAGGCGAAAAACAGTCACTATTGCATTTTAATTGCTACACTATGATGGGGATCCGAGGGCGAAGTAGTGCTGCTGGCTAGTTGGAGTGTAGCAGCAGTAAGGTGTTTCCCTTGGATGACCAGCAGTACCACACTGATGCCACCTTCCCTATGCGAAGAGGAGGTGTAAAAGGTTGACCGCAAAAAGGGCACACTCATTCATCCTCCACGGTCTTCTAGCGCTAGCAGTCGTGGTTTTTTCTGTTCGGCGTTAAAATAATCGAATCTTAAAACAACAATCTGCAAAAGGTTGTGTATGAGTGGCCTCAAGCAGATGTTTTTTGGGCCATGCTATCACACAAATCTCTTTCTCTTTCAGGTACCCTAAGAAGAGATAACCTCCCACGGTTTTGGGGCTCAGGAAGTATCAACTGCCCACACGCTGCCAGTAGCACACAAGACTCAATCAAAAATTACCTATTCTCCTTAACTGTCTGTCTCCATGACTGACTATATCACTGTAAATGTCCTCAAATCGATTCTTGTGTATTGTTATCAGTTATCTTGTATCGGTTTAAGTAACTGAGTTAAGTGCTTAGAAATTTTTTAGAGATACTGGCATGCTCATGTAGGTTTACGGAATTATGCATAGGTGTTCATAAGTAGCAGTTCTACCTGAGTTCAACTAGGTTGATTCACCTAATATTATGTGTGTAGGTCAGCAACTATATACAGGTTTTTGATGTAAGCAGTGGACCACACCCATTGTGTCGGAGGGCTACTGCCCAAACCTCGGTGGGTGGAGTTGATTGAAAGTCAAATGCGTGAGCTAACAGGTCACATTACAATCGATCAATGTTATGTATAAATGTTTATTGAAGAGTTATGTGATCAACTGATTCCCTTTGAATTGAATGAAGCCGATGTTATTTTCACGAGATGTTTAGTTATTTCAATTTTCAGCCTCTTAAAAATCGACTCGTCTAACTCTACTGAATGTTATCAGTATACATAGAGATTATACTTGTGCAAGAAAACGTGTTATATATACATGTATGTTGCAGGTTACTACTTGTTGTAAGATCGTCTTGCTTGAAACTAAAGTAAAACGATATATAGTTGAACAACACACGAGTATCTGGAAATCACTAATACTAGTCTTTAGATTTCTCAAAATCTTGTTTACAGTAAACGATGATTTCACTTATTTGAAGTTCAACTTATAAGTGGTGTCTCCAGTCAACTCTAGTTTACGGAGGTACATTGTTCAAACCAATCGGGTCTGACTAACAAACTCAAATGTAGCAGTAGAGTATGGAAAATATACTCACTTCACAAATTATTCATGAGTCGTATGTTGCGTTGAACGTGTACGCAATTGTTAAATTACTACAAAACGTTTAGTTAATGCTAGTGAAGCCTACAAACCATTTCATGATACATAAATATGTGAGTCTGTTTATTGTTTGTGATCAGTCTAAGGCTAAGTAATACTGATGGAGGGGGCAGCGTCGAAACTGTTTCTGGAATTATTAATTAATTGAATCTTTGCATTCTTCTCATTGATATCTGTAATCACTTGTCAGTTATTTGACTAACTTTCTTCCCCTTTGAAATTTGTTTCTAGTTTCATATCATTCAGGTACCAGTATAAAACGTTTTCCTGTACAAAACATTGCTAACCGTACTGGTCGAGCTGCACTGCTGAAATCTACTCTTGTTGATATAGGTGATCAGTTTATACAGCATTTTCGTCAAGGTGATCCCTCCGAAGATTCCAGTCATAAATCTGAATCTGAACAATCACCATCATTGAAAAATAATAAACTAATGAATTCTGAACCTAATTTGCGCTTAAAATCGATAGTCGGTACGGACCCAACACCTTGTATATTAGGATTATGGACTCCGATTGAAGATGGAGTTAGTGAGACAGGACGTTTGGCTATTTATGGCGATTCAGATTGTTTAAGTTCAACTCACTTGAATTCAAGTAACGGAATGTTTTTATCCTGTCTTTGCGTTTTTTTAGTAAAAATAACTATACCAGGTTTTCGGCCTGGTGTTTTATCAGAAATTAATTTGAATCATTAAGTTATGCCGAAGATATTTACCAGGATATGATAGACGAAGAAACACTTCAACAAGGAGATTGTTTTAGTGATTTTATTTAGAAAGCTGTACAATCACAAATTTGTATATTTGTTTCTGTGACTACTTGATAGTTAACAGTAGATTGTCGAATATGACAAGAAGTAGAAGAAGAATTGACATATTAAATTGTCACTATAATCAGAATTTGTTAGATATTAATGAAAATATGACATGAGTTGCCTAGAATTTTCTTAGTTTGTACAAGAAGTTGTATTTATTACTGTCATAATTTTGAGGCACACTCCACGTATCAAGGTTTGAGCAGCCAGATAGTATGATTTGTCTTGTCTTATTGCCTACTGCACGAATCTACACAGGGTTGTTGAGTCCATTTCTTACAGACACACAAAAAAACGAAAAAATAACAGCCATATAAGTGCGACTCGTAACGACAACACGAGTAAAAGGGAGTTCACAGCCTGCATTGTATAAGGAGGGTACCTCAGAAACTTTACGTAGAATCCTCAACAGAGCTGGAATTAGGGTGGCATTTAAACCTACAGACTTACTCAGAGATAAACTTTGTCGGCTTAAGGATCCGATAGAACCAATTAAGCGAAATAACATAATCGATCAAATACCATGTAATGACTGCGAGGTCAAGTATATAGGTCAAACTAGTCGGTCGGGGTCGGTCAGAATAGCCAAACATAGGAATTTAGCTAAATATAGTATAACAGACCTAAATAAGATCAACAATCCAGAAAAAACTCGGCTATCGCTGCATAATATGCATTAACATACAATCACACAATAGGGTAGGATAAAGCCACTGTACTCAAGTCCAATATAATTAGGTGGAGAGAGAGATTGATTACTGAATCTTTGTTCATCGAATCAACACCCAGTCGACACATGTGTAATAAAAATGATGCAACACCTATACCAGAGATATGGGAAATTTTGTTACCAATAAAAACAACTCATATAAAGTGACATGACTATAAGAATCAAATGTCGAAAGTGGAGTATGATTACATTGATATGATTGCGAGCAGTGATAATTTATGCTCAGGATGTTGTCATCATGTAAATAATACTAGATTACTGTGTATTAGAAATCAAATAAACAAATCTAATATGGAATTAATTTCTACCACAGTGCTCAAGTTTTACACCTATATCCATTTCATTTTCTTTTTTTTTTTGTATAACATAACAAAATATTTGGGAAACCAAGTTTTGGCTAGAATTAGCACAGAGAAAACAATCATCAAAATGCAAAGAAAAACTAGATCATTTCCAAGAACTAAATCAATGATCGTGATACTATAAGAGGTTGAACACAATTTTCATTGGGATACAAAGCTTCAGATTTACAATATGAATTGTAAGAGCTGTAGCATGGCAACTAAAGCGAAGATATACAAATTTCTGAAGACTATTTTCACTTAATAAATTACTTTGAATAAGGAGGCTTACCAGATTGAGTAATATATATTGACGAAGTGTTCAATTATAACACTATTAGCGATTCACTCTTACTCCTTTGTATCATCCACTTGGGTTAGTTCTCCTAAACCCTTTTGAATAACCTTCACATTAAACAACATATTACCTGGTTCTACAAGTTCAAGTGAATTGGTAAATACACATAAACGGTCGTTAAAGTTTGTTGGGAAAAATTGTGTATCAGAAGAATATTAATCTTAGTGTTGGTGTTAATAATGCCCTTCTTAGAGATTCTGACATTCTCCTCTTTAGATTGAAGCTTCATAAGCAAAATAAAGCCAGAGTTTTGTAAGTAAAACTGTACGTTTGTGCTAGACTGAATGTTTCACATGAATCTTAATGTAAAAGATGATATCGGTAAATTTTTCCATGTTTCACAATTTCCTATCTAAACTTAGTAATCTTTACTCAACTCCTTTTACATTCTGAATAATTTTTACCATCAGCTGGTTTATGGCATTGCTTAATTTCACTACATGACGGATGTCAGTTAGAGAAGTAGTATAAACTTTGAGACAATAGACAGCTATTTTTTCTTTCATGAATACTCACTTACGACCCAAAATTTGATCCACCCTAGTACTATTAGATCTCGTGATGAACACTTCACCATTCAGCCACTGGGTTGGTACACAGTGGTTCCCATTTTCCTAATTTTTGTAATGCAACTTATTATATTACCATGAGACTTGATGGTAATAGACTTGATTTCTCATGCGGTCATAGGTGCACACAGGATGAGTCCCTCACTAGAGCGAAACAGGTGTCCAGTGTTCCAGGGTTTTAAATGTTTATCTAACTGGGGTCAATCCTTAGTGAACGCCACATTGTGATCGTCACCAGACTTAATAGTTTTTATATTGAACCTAAGGTGATGAAAGATACCCACTGAGTCATAAAAACGATGAACTATGGATAACTCAGCTAAGAAAATCTTACTTTTCACCGATGTTATTTTCTAAAGTTGTATCAGCGTATTCATAAGTATTGGAAACAAACAACAGCCTAGTAGTAAGGGAATGGGTTGCATCATAACTATAACGTTTAAGAGTAGACTAAAAAGTTGTTTCTTTCTAAATACAGGAGGAAGTTTTGAAAAAATACATGACATAATAGAACTGATCAGAAATTCAAAGTTTGACAAGATGAGAATTGTTACTAGATCTGAAGTGAAATGGCTAACTGTTCGATTGATAGACGAAAATTTAGGTAAAGAAAGAGACTTGGATCCTAATGAAGTTATTAGTGGTAAACTAAATACAAGTAATTGTTTCAGAAAAGAAAGGATCCAGATTATGGTATAAGGAGACTTTGTATGTACTACTTCTACTCATAGATTTTCTGTTTGAATTGGTAGATTGCCAGTGCTTCTGCTATGCTCAAGTCACAGAACTGTATTCTTGTTGAACCGTTTGGTCCAATTCTATAGGAAATTTTGAAAGAGGATTCACATAGGGCTTCCTGACTTGATACTAATGTACTGAAGGGCCTATAGATTTACACTAATCTTCTGATAAGTGTATAGAATGAAGTTCAGAAATATTTTAAAGAGTGTACACCTTTTCTACCTATACAGCTGACTCAACAGGAACAAATACACGTGTAACTCATTTGTTTAAGCACCTAACCTTGTACCATTGGGTCATGGGTTTGAAAATCGCCTCATCTATACAGGTTTTGCCACCCAGGTACTAGTATCATTAACCGCCACACGGAATTTGTGGCTCATTGCTTACCGCAGTAACGTGCACAAGACATCTGCATGAGTTTTCGTTTCCTTTTAAAAGCATAGCTTTGTGACCGGGAGCAGCAGTTTACCCTCTGCACATTCACGAATCAACTACTGACTGAAAAAGATGACGTGTAATTCATAAACAAGCAAGTTTATTCTAGTCAGATGATTGTCGATGATCTCTGCTGGAGCATCATTTTTACAGTCGTTGTTTATAAAAAACTTTTTCTTGGGAAAAAAGGGTGTTTTGTTTGTTAAATCTGAAGGGACATCAATTTTGTGAAATCGCTTGTCAAAGTCTTGCCAGTTCAACTTAAATTGAATAATCTTTGTAGATTTTTATAACCCTGGACGATTGCGGATGAGTTATATTATTTTCTTGCTCAGCGGAGTTTAGCTTTGGAAATGTGTCTAATGACTATTCTGTTTTGACTTTCCATGAACCAGTCACTGTAGAGGACCATACAATCTAATTTTTTAATTAAGGTATCCCAAAATTAAAAATTCGAATGCTTGTCGGATTGTGATGTAACCTTGACTGACTAGCGAAAACTATTAAACTTTTCAAGTACAACTTCAACGTCCGTAACTTCGTCACAGCTTCTGTTGCTTCTTTATGCAGTGATGTGACTGTTTCGGCAGGTACGCTGCCAGTTTTTACCTCATAGGGGGACAAGCGGCACACTTGAGTCACATAAAATTGTCCAATAACTAATCTCTGGTGCCCATAGATATCTGGGCCACATATGTGCCACAGTAACAGTGCCAGAGAGTGTGGTAACCTGACCCGAAACGGTTGGGCAAACTATTTAATCATCTTCATGACTGAGATCAGAATCCCTAGTACATGCAATTTATAAGCGTACACTGATTATGTCCTAGCCCTTTGAACACGCCAGCCGTCGCTACTACCGATTGAGTTGTGTGGTGAAGTATCTGGATTCGTATCGTTGAAGTGGTGGTGACATCTGACTGATGCTGAGAAGATGACCTTATTTGACCGTTCAGAGGACGTAAAAGTCGTAACAAGGTTTCTGTAAGTGAACCTACGAAATGATCAATACCAGATATTCCTATATATATATATATATATATATATATATATATATATATATATATATATATATATATATATATATGAAAACCAGGCTGAAATGGTCGTCGTGCTTATCTATGACATTTCCATGGGTTGCAGGTCCTTTCTAATGCTGATCATAAATGAGGTGTTTCATGCAATTATTCCCCTTCACAAGTTTAAATAGAGCAAGAACAACAGCATTAGCAGAATAGCATGGATGCATTTTATTTCGAGGTTTCTCATCAACTACTTACAACTTGAATCAGCTTGACAGAAAATTGTTGGCTTGAACTATAGATATCATCATCGATATAAAGTTACTAAAAATACGCAAACGGAGTGTGTGCACGAAGCTAGAATGACTGTTTCTTGATTATCATTATGAACTTATTAATATTTACATTGGTTTCTGTTTGTTTTTTCCACATTCATTTTTATGCCGTATTCCTCCTTTTTCAAATGTAGACTGTTTTTGGCTGCTGGATGCATTGCTTCAGTTTTCCACTAGTTCTATGGGACGAATCCCGACTACTTTAATGGAGCGAATGTCTATCCCAAATGCAACATATTGGTTTGATCCTTCACTGGCATTACCTCGTCGTATACAAAGTTGGTTTAAATTATTTTTTCTTAGTCTCGTATTGCGTTCTACAATCTACACTGTATTGCTGTTGAGTTTTTCATATGAAGTCTTCTATTGACGTTCGGACCCGACCGATCGCTACCTTGACGTGATGGTTGAGCTCGCGTATCTCACTTACCTAACGACCTATGATTGTAAAATGCTTTTTCCTTCGAGGTCCTACCATGCAGGAGGGGTTAGTTGGTAAGATAAAAATAAGTTAGTGTTATAGCCCATACTTTTGGGCTGTGATAGGTGTCTGAGGATAGAGTCATACGGCTGTCTGGATGGGGTTGTGGCAGCAGTGAGGTGTTTCCCGCAGATAATCAACGTTGCCATACTGATTTTGCCTTACCGTGGAAAGGAGAGTTACAGAGGGTCTACCCTAAAAATTGCACACCTCTCTATGCCGTGGCTTGTTAGCTCGGGCGATATAGGTTCACACGCAGATTTGCACGAAACATACTAAATCATTAAACTTCTTAAACTACCGTGTGCAACCCACTTCAAGCAGATGTCCGTTGAGCTCTGTGGCCAAGCATTACCCTTCTTTTTCAAGTACTTCAGGAAGAACCAGCCTTCCATGGCGTGGACAGCCGGGAAGTGTCATCGTCCTCGCAACTCAGTCAGCATTCAACTGACGTTCGAAGTAGAATCCTAGCTACCAAACCTTTTAACTGAAGGAATAAAGCGACAATATTCCAAATTTATTCACTATTGTAACTGACGGTAAATGACGGTATGTTCTACTTACACGGTCATCAGCTGTTTGTTTACCGGATCAATGGTCCGCTCACCTACTGTTGTTTGATTAGTATCACTAGCTGCTATACATTTGATACGGGATATATCCTAATTCACGAATCCACTGTTGGTTCTAAATATAGAAGATGAAGAAATACTATATACCTAAAACATTTTGTCAATTATCCCAATATTTGATGTGGTTCGGAGTATAATAATTTTAGTTTGTAACCTGGGTTTTATCTGCTTTATATCATACATGAACAACCTTCCTAAAGCGGTATAGACTACGATATAACTTCCTTCTTCACAATTTGTATGTAACTTTCGGCATGTACAGTAAAAATTTGACCGATTTTTGTTACTGTTTTTAAGGGGAATCAGGTTCCAGTTTATTTCTCACATAATGGTGTTTATTGCTGACGAAAGACAGACACTTAAGCATGATAGTATTTCTCGAACCTATTTTATATTGTTAACATGTTTGCATTTGTCAGAAGGGATTAACAATGAATATGCTCTGAACTAACGAAGTACAACGATATAATGAGAAAATATTTTTTTCTCCTCCGTATGGAATGGCGATGCAACACCAATGTAGAAGAGTAGAGGCTTACAGGAAGTCGCTCGGTTACTTTTTCTTACTGTATTTTATACAAACTGCCCATGGAAATTATTGTTATTGAAATGTAAAAGCTAGACATCCGTCACCACCACGAACTTAATGTATGAATTAAAACGAGATATAATCAGACGGTAACTGAAGTCTACGCAACGGTCTTTAACACTTACGGTTGAAGGCAATTATCGTTCACTACGTAATAATTCATTAGATTTCCACCACACTTCACTTCATTTGGTTAGGCTACCTTTATTTTAGGTTTCTTGAAAAGGCAAAAGTTTAATAGCTGTTGGAGTATAGGAATGACATTTGGGATATGTCACTTTTCAGCTGAAAATGGTGGTGGAAACTCTTTATAGCCTATCATTGCTGTTCTTAGTAGTGTACTGCTTTAAGAAGTCATATACTCTCCATTCACAAACTGTCATCCACTCATTTTAGTTGAGGGTAACAGTATATACATTTATTTAAGTTGGCGCTTGTAGTGCTACATATCGTTTCAAACTGTAACGTATGGAATAGTTTCATATCTGTTACCTTATTTTTTACAATTCTAACACCATTTGATTTACAACTGTACCGTTTTACAGGAAAATATCTGGCATTTGTCGAGTATTTTTTCGTAAAGCTCCCGTTCTCCTCCTACTTTCATTTCAACTTTTTTTTATAGGTTCTCAACTGAATAGGTATAGTAATGTGATCCGTAGGGAATGGAATCCTTATAATCTGACTTCTAATCGTTTGCCATCAAAAGCTTATCGTCCAGTTCAGTCGTGCTATGTAGCAGCAGCAGCCCCTGTGATGCTAGATAAAACTACGCCAAACGAGTAAGTTAACTATTACTTCCAATGTATTAGTCGGTTAGTACTATTACTGTATATTTATGAGAAAGACAGAGACAAAGTAATTTGAAATCTTGCCCTGGAGTGTATCGGTTTATGTTGTCCCACTTCTCATTAGTCTGGCAAGAATAAAAGGAGCGAAGAAAAGGGGTGTTATTTGAAATATCGAAGGTTTGATAAGGCAAAGACATCAACTTCACTGTAAACGATCTGCAGTTATGTCACTAAAGGTCTTCAACTATTGATTCCTTTGTCTGGAGGACTTCCAGCCAAGTTGTCTGCGATTTTGCACATGGCTTAAATCAACAGTCAAAGACTTTATAAACCGGTGGCATATCTTATTCTATTTACCGTTGACCTTCCTCTCACCCATCGCTACTTCGATTGCCACTCCATAAGTGTATGGATTGTATTGAATGCCATCGTATGGTGTTTAAAGCAGATCAAACCTAATCAGTTGAATAATGTGACTAGATTTCCGTGCATTGTGACTCAATACTCCAGAGTACAGCATTTCGGTGCTCAATGTGTAAAGGGATTCATTATTGTTATCACTAGATATCTTTTCACCCACAGAAATTCAAACGTCTTCTAAGTCTTCTACATACGACTGGGCATCGACGATGGGATTTTCACGAGAATTCATGCAGTTAGGTGTGTACATTTTAGTTTTCTTGAACTATCACATTGGACACCAAATTTTTTCAACACTGCCAGCTAATTTGATTAAAATTTGACAGAAGCTGACTGATGAATCATCATTGACTAGTCACTGAAAAGCAACCAATCTCATGTTGTGTAGTCCTGAGTGCGGACCGAATTCTGTCGATAATTTTGCAATGTGGCCACCAAGCTATGAAGCTGAGCATCGCAGTACACTTCGATGGATGTTAGTTAGCTGAAGAAAGTCGGCAAGAAGCCCTGGACATAGGTTTCGAGTGCCAACAAGCACAAAACCTAAGTCTAGGGCTTCCTGCCGTTTGCCTCCAATCAATGATTAATCTTCATTCTACTGAAAAGAATTTTGGTACAGACAGTACCTCTCCTAAGTCGGCTGGAGTTTTGGATACACCATAATGTCATGCTTTATTTTCATTCATATACAACCATACTTTTAATCCCATTATTGAATTTTTTCGTAGGTCATCATTATATCGCCCTCAACGTTTACTTCTATATCCACTGGAAGCATACCAGGCGTTGAAAAAAGCATATACTAACCAATACTGCCATTCCTCTTTATCTGATGACCGATCGTCATTGGTCAATATACGATTCAAAAGACTACAATCTGTTCAACTTTTTCTCAAACAATCGAACTTTTATAGTTTCTTCATAAACCATTATCTTTTATTTTATATTTTCTCTATTCTGACACTTTTTTACTTTTTTCATAAGCATTTGTAGTATTTATTCATTATATCATTAAAGGTGTAATCTATTCATTTGGAAGTGTCTACTCTATGGTTAAGTATTTTGTAGTACGGTTTTTACTCGTATTGTATAGTTTATATAGGAAATTTTTCGGTTGTGTTGCACAAAACGTGTTTGACAGGACATCTAAAAGTGCCAATGCCATGATCATCACCACCACCACCACAGTAGTTAGCACAGTGCCGAGCCTGTCAACATCTAATATTACGAGAACAATTCATGAAAGCGGTAGTACTAGAAAACCCAATATATTCATACATATACATAGATAGACACTCTATTTGTTATTGGTCTGGTTACTGTGTTGAGTACCACTTTGAAATGTGAGTTGTATCCTTTGATTGATTGTGTTAGTAATATCATCTAACTACTAGTTCATTTCTCGTCAATCATTGTTATAAACGAGTATGATGTTAAGTTCCAGTCTTTGTCTGTCTCCTGTTTTTATCATCCTACTTTCATTTCATACTTCACTGTATATATACATAAGCTTTACTCATACTAACCTACTTTCATATTCTGTATAACTTGTATGTATAACATTATTGTATATAATGTAGGCATATCAATAATTTAATACGGTTGGCAATAATATATTACCTTTGTCTAGAAGATGATAACAAGTGTTGGTTGATTCATTATGTAAGTGACTGGATTGAAGTGATGATGCCAAGCGATGGTGGAAATTATGTTTAAAATAACGTAACATGGTGTGAATTTATATTGTTCGCTGATACTTCCTTATTGTTCGAATGGATCGTTGGTTATTATCTGAGATACATGTTTTTGAAATGAAATCGATGAGTCTGAAAAGCTCTTCTTCATCACCGAATTTGGCTCGCTGGTAAAAGGTCGAACACAGAGAAATATGCTCTGTACGAAATGAATGTACAAGAATAGAAGTGGATTGCACATGCAAACCATAAACGAGATTAAGCAGACAATAAGAAGCAGGATTACATGCTTGAAATTTCACATACCGCCGTCAGAAACATGTGGTAAATCATGATAAGTTATTTCACCTCTGACCTGCATCACTTTTATGTTTATGAAAGCTGTATATTTTTTGAAACAAAGTCATCTTTGCTATCATAGATCAATCCTTTTTTTCTGATATTTTTCCCCAACGCTCTAATGCATTCACAAATAAAATGTGTAATGATAGCTTGTAACATTATAAGGAAAGACCGAAAGCCATTACTGAATTCGTGTACAGTTTTCGTCTTGTTTATTATGTTCAAGGGACTGTTTATTTGTTCACTATTAGCGATCTGAGAATAATGTCATCTTTGAGAGAAAATAATTCATCCTGTAAAAGAAACTATGTAAAGTTTTCGAGTGCAAATCGCATACCAAGTAACTGTTGGTCATCGAGACTATGTTCAGATGACGGTTAAAGTTGACTGCACTATGAGCTGATACAGAGAAAAGAAGGTTGAAATAATGACATGCATATTCAATCACTTCAGGAAAAGAATTGGAGCAAGGTGTCTTTTAAATGAATACTGAAATTGTATGAAATTAAAAATGAGGTTGTCCAAATATGTTTGTTTCTGGATAGTGGGAAGATTCAGTATATTTCTCACTGAACAAAGATGTCTCGGTATTTAGAAGTTGTTTCATTGCCAAGCTTAGTGACATCACTAGCAATATGCTCATCATCATGTAACACAGGCCTAACTTTTCATAAATACGTATTTACTATTATCAGTTATTTTCTATTAGACAGCACTTACGGCAATGGTATGCATTCGAAACTCCTAGTTCTGTCAATTCGCTATGTAGAGCGACTATCCTTACACCCTACTTGGTTGATCCTACAAGTCACGGCTTCTCATTAACCTTTTGAGAAATCTATATCATCAAAGAGTGTCACCATGTTGAACGTCTCTGCACAGTCTATAGAAAGGACAATGTGAGTGCTCAAATACCATGTTAATTGTGGTAATGAGATTCACACACTTCAACAATTCAATTTAGGAAATTGGTAAATGACATGAAGACTTTAAGAATATTCTCGTTTGATGCCATCTTCGATTTAATTGAATCAGAGAGACAAGAAATATGCCGTACATGAACTACTAAAATTTCTCGAACTCTACCAAAGCGATTGTTTCAAGCCGACTAAAGCTGAGCTAATTCCTTCACAAGTCAACTACATTCTGATTGCGATATATACAATGGCATGAAGAAAATGTCGCTAGAATCGACAATGTGAAGACTAATTGTGGAGTGGAACTTATTTACATAGAAAAAGAAGCCTTTCTAGCTTAAACTTCACAGTATTACTGACTGGCTTATGATAAAATATTGAAGAGATCTTTGGCTTGAATCCAACCATTACCTTGGCTTTTCATTGTTTACTATCCCATCTCATTATTATCATTTTGTCAATTATCCCAGACAGGTTCCTGGTCGCCAACATGCACTAAAGAATTGAAAGTAATTATTCACATGAATGAATCATTATCCTCAGATAACATAATTCGCGTATCGCAGACGCTATTTTTCTATGTTGAAGGTAGATGTGTGAGTAGACTGTTAAAATTCTGACATTTTACTCTTAAGCCATATGTAAACCAAAACCCACTGACCAAGATGACATGGGCTCATAATTTAGCCTCTACTGGTCAATGACATCAAAGTAACTTTTGCCACATCACTGAGCTTAGTGATCTTATTGTAACATTGATCAAAGAAGTTTAACTGTCACTTGGAAATTTACAGCTCTCAACCAACAACTAATTCACATGCCAAATTCAAACCTACAGTAAGTTATTGATGGTTGGCATTGAAGCTACTAATTTCATCATTGAAGAGTGAAATAAGAGGTTTGGAAAATCTTTATCAAAACGTTTCACAGTAGGATTTCCGAATGGTGCCAAATACTTCTTATCCCCATCGAACTGTTCTCAATCCCTTTCGTGATGAGTAACGACGTTCTATGCATTTAACTAATCAGCTACAACGACATCTAAAAATCCTCCTGAAATTTCTTTTTTTCCCTGAAGAGATTTGACTAATCAGTTTCAGTAGAGTGGTTCACGGGGATGACACTTCATACAGAGATTGTTTGAATTTCAGTTATAACCTTTACAGGTGATCAATTTATTATTATAGGTGAACTAATAACCTGCTAATGACACCATCGAAACGAAAGCATAAGAAGTACTGTAGAAAATCTTTATTATGCTATATTTTTAGTCTGATCTCACGGGAATGAATGCGGTGAGAAGAAATGAGGATGATAACGTCAGAAGTCAAACAACAAGTTTAGTATGAAAAGGTACAAAACTACTTGCTCTCGGAATTTAAATGCTGATCAGGCTACAAGGTGATCGATACCAGGCTACATCACTTAATTTGCCATTTATTGGTCTCATTTGCCGCAAAAGCCATCAGCAGAGATTTAACTTTTCCTTACACTTCAGACCAGTAGATAGACATCACATGTGGCGTTATCGTTTCATTTTCTAACGACTGTCGAACTGTGGCTTACAAAGATTGTTGGAATAAGTGATAACTTGTCAAATGTAACACGTATTTCAGTTGCTTCAGTAAATGGAAATCTGAAATTAGATAAGCTGATTAGCCTTCAGAAACAAGTACTATGGGTCTAAGACAAACGGTGTCAAGACTTCATTGAAAGCACATGTGATTGCATGTACTTAATGGTTATCCAATACCAATGGTTTTCTCAAATCCTATAAACTCACTGACCATGTGTCATAGACATGGTACGAGAGAGAAGACTACTTCTCAGTACACTCGGATCCTAATACACAGACTGATATCTTACCGACTTGACAAGTGGTATTTTCTAGCAAATAACACACCTGACGTTTAAATCTATGTGCATAATTCTTTTCTAAGACCTGAATGCTACATGTTAGTTGGTCACCATTTTTCGGATTAATTTAATACTTTTATCTTGAATGAACAACTCAAAAATACGTCATGAGACTCTTGAAGGTTACAAAGAGGAGAAATTCAACAAGTCGTGAACTTAGTGATGAGAAGTTATGAATAGTATTTGACTGCAAATGAACTATAGAAGTGATCATTAAGAAAAGTTACTTTGAGCAGTTGTTACATTTTAGCAGATGAAAAACCGAGTTTGAGAGTAATCAAGGTAATTGTCGTAGGGATGAACCTGTTTTTATTCTTGCATAGCTGACGTAACTACGAAAAGATCATCATAAAGGGTGGCGCATGTTATCTCTCAATATAAGTCCTTTTATGATAGAGTTAGATGTGTTTTTTTAATTTCAAGTTAGGCAGCTGATGGACTAACTACATCGGTCTGACCACATATTCAGGCTGAGATACGAAACAGTACGTACATGAGATAATCCTTACCCATCACGACTTTATACAATGTGTGCAGCCCAAATCTCGTAGGCTAAGTTTTATCATTGTGCCGAAATTGGTGCTATTTGTCAGCCTGAACACACCTGAAATGAATTCACCAAAACTAAGAAAGAGTGTATCACATTCTTCAAAAGAACATTATTTGTTTAGGTGTTTATATTGTTTTTCATCTGTCACTTCGTTTTCTCTGCAATATTTATTACTGGAATCCGTACAGATCAGAAAGCCTTCGGTAAACTAGATTGTATTTAAGTTGTGTATTATCATTGTACGATCCGTATGCATGTTCTACACTCTTTCTGAGGCTACTATGACAGTTTCTATTTATCCCACCTTCTCCAATGAGTTTGTGGTGGCGCTCATGAGTGGGTGATTTTTGCAGTTGTTCACACGGCCTGGTTTATTACAGACATCCAGTGCATTTTCATATGGGTCTAGTTAGATTAACTTGATGTACACTCACTCCCACTTCATTAGAACTTTCTATGATCACTGTGCATCTCTATTTGACATGGATCGGTGGACTATTACCTCACTCTCCATCATGCTTTCTCTAGGTCAGATATATGCTGCTCCTATACGAATTCGAGAAATTTTATGTGTTTGGTGAAGTTTACAGAATCACCAAATTCGAAGTACTCACCTGCTTTCATTGCGAAACAAAACACTATCAAAAACAATGACTTTTATTAGAAACTAATCTACTTGTACATTATCTAAACTACATAAAGGATTATATCCTGTATATTCACCTGGAAGTAAACAGAAACAATACAGAGTCTCGGTTACTGTTATTATCATGATTGTTGAATGCGTTGGTGATGTGCATAAAGTTATCAACATAATAAGAAATTACTTTGAATTGGTTCTTGAGACTCAAGATAACAAGCCAGTATGGATGCCTTATGACTGAATGATAGATAACTGTCCCTGATGAAATAAAAAGCTATACGGATACAAAGAAAGCTTTATCCTCACCCTGAGTTATATATAAATCATATCCACTACTGTGAAGGTGTATTTCTCATCTTTGACCTCCAAGCAATAAGTCTGACTTCTGTCAGAGTTCTGTGGAGAAGCAAGAGGATGGAGTGTGGCAGTTACCTCTGAAGAAAATGGAATATACAGTTCTCTTACTTCTTGCTCATATATATATATACTCACAACAGAAGGAGAAGCCTGAGGGTTTTGTGAAAAGGATATTTCGGTGAAGAGCCATCAAATAATGCTTTTCGCAGTGCGCAGAGTTCTGCTTGCAGAAGCTGAAGTTGACCGATAGGTTCAATAAATGATGGGTGAAACAATAATAGAAGGAGCTGATAGCTTGTACAGCCAATCCGTTCTCTCGTTGAAGAATTTCAGCTGAAATCATGTATTCTGCATTGATTTCAGAAAACTAAATAGCATAAGAGAACTTCAGACTAACAAGAAAAAGTCACCAACAGCCTGAATAAATATCATGCTGATAGGTTATCGAGTGGGAAATGGAGAAGTAAAGTGACTACCGCAGAATATTACAACTGTGGGAAGCATTGCAACATTTAATTCAATGAGAGTACTGGAACCATTTTAGAGAGCAACAAGATTCTGTAGATGGTTCATTGGAAACCATAAAGAGATATCGGCACCCTTGTATAAGCTGCTGGTTGATGCTAAGTGTACGTGGGTGAATAGAAGCAGTACGACAAACATCTGATCCAATCGTGCAACGTTTATTAGACAAACAGATGATGATGCAATTGCCAGAATCCGAGAACTAGCAGGTGGTTGCCCTAGATGGGATTGGTAAAGTTGCGAGATAGTAAGGAAATGTTGTGGAGTATACCGGTTGCGTTCTGATGCC